GTATTTGGACATTTCATCCTTTTTTTAAACAATGGAGATAGAATGCAGTCTCCAACGTTGTTTTAAATAAAAAAAAGACAGGATGATTATATAGACTATATATTTTCACAGTGTAGAGGGAAACCATGGGCTATCATTCCTATGATAGGTGCCTAAAGTCACAACTTTCCAGTAGTGTGGGGCTAGCTCTTAGGTTTTGAATTGTCAATAACTCCTCTGAAGTATTTTCTGAGATTGGGTTATGAGTATTGTGGGAACATCCCACATATTATCACAGCACCAGCATGTGCGCTAACCAGTCAAATTGCATCCAACGTTCGTATTTATACAGCGCTTGCTGCTAGCCCGCATCCACATCATTACGCACGCTAGCCAACCAGCGCTCAGCAAATTTTCGCTCCGCCATCACGCATTGTATAAAAGGCGGAGCACAAGCTCGCAAGTAATCAGTCTACGATCAGCAGTCTTCAAGCACTCTACAAACAGCACACTTCGTCACCGGTGCTCGGTCTTCAGAGGCATAGGCACTTCACTGCGCCAGGCAGGACTGCCCTGGCTGTCCGGCGGTCACACCTAACTCACTGGGAAACTTGGCCGCCTTGATTCACTGGTAGTCATGCCCGACACACTGGGCAACTGGCGTAGCTACTGCCTCTCCACTCCAGCGACTGCGCTCGACAACCAGACTTCAACCAGCAGCTGCCACACTGCGATCAAGCAACCTCCATCATCTGCCGCACTGTGATCAAGCAACAGCCGCACTATGGCCAGTCCATACACCGCAACCAACATCCCCTCCTACCAGCATGCGCCGCGCTACCTCACCAGTCAAGCATCTCAGCAACCAACGGTCCTTTTCAGGACCTACAAACTGTTCCGAAGAAGTGGGTTGTCATTGAAGTAACGACTCAAAGCCCCACAGTATAATGGAGGTGCCCACACCAGCGCGTACTAGAAGATTCAGATGTCTTGTTCACATTAATGATGTTGCTAATGGAAGGAGTTTTTCATCATTTGCTATAATAGATGTGTAACTTACTAAAGTTGCCCCCTTGATTTGAAATAAAATTTCCTGCAGTAGAAACTCTTTCTAACGTAGAACATATTATTTCAATCCTGCCAGGAAAGATGCCTATCAACTTTTGGTGGGAGGGGAGATGTGGATTTGAGTATGAATACTCTAGTAATTTGTTCACAACGCCTTCCTTTGTAACAACCATAATATTCATGATTACTGAGTTTTGGGGTTTTGTCTATCCTCAACTATTCTAAAGAATACAATGTTTTGGAAAGTGGATGTGTTTTCGTCTTCAGGTGAAACCATTAGAAGCATCTACTTTGTTGGATCTTTCAGAAGGAGCTACCTCAATCACTGGACAACCTGTATCAGTGTAACTACAATTATATACATATACCTGAGATCAGGTTTTGTTAGTAAGAGATGACAGGAAAATTTGCAGTGAAAATTTTGGAAAAGTATGTAAGGTCTTGAAAGTAAGATAGAAGAGGGAGTGGAAAATAAGCGCAATACCAATGCAGAGGAAAATCGAAGCTTTTCATATTTTAGAATACCCACCTACTGTTAACGCCATCTGTGGAACAAAAATTGAACCCCATATATATATATATAGTATATACCCATGAAGAGTCCGTCAGATCATACTGACCTTCTCTTTAAGCTGCTGGCCTCATTGTTGATAAACACACAGACTGACATTCAATGGTTCATAGAAAATCACCTCAGGATTATTATAGAATAATTGATAACACCGTCCATTTTGATTCAATTTGTAGATATTTACTGCCTTTACATGTTTCGTTCAGCTGTGACCATCTTTGGAAGACATAGGCTCAACACTGGATGGTGTTATCAGTTATTCTATAATAGTTTACTAGTGTGAGGGACCAGAATGAATAAAGTTAACCTCAGGATTATAATTTGTTATTAACCAAGAATCCTGACCCAAATGTATTATTCTGTATACTTCCACTATAAATCATAGTAAAATGCCCTGTATCCATTGTTCCTTCACCTTTCAATCAAATTTTATGACTGGCTGCAGTAGAAATAATATATGTCTCTAGTTCCGATTTTAATCGTTTTAATGAGTCTGTCCTGAACAAACTTCACACATTCCAAGTAGCAGGATATAAGACAGTGTCCCTGTTATCTTCTCTTAGTCATTTCCCAAAATTTTACAGTCAGTATCTCTTGTTAGGTTATTTAATATACATTATTTTTCCCCTAAAGCTGTCCCCCTTCCTCCCATGCCAGTATCAATATAAAGTTCGTATCTGACTGTGGGAGGTGCCCAGCTCACATCACAGTTGAGACATTGACTGTTATGAGTGAGGTTGTTTGTGATCCTCCAGGTAAATGCTGGAACAGTACCTTAAATTACCCCATGACATGCTCCTGTTCACATTTTTTGTAATTCATTATTCATTCATTATCAGTCTACTATTTGATACTGTATAATCAAAGTTACTGATAATGTATTAAATAAATAAATAAATAAACAACTCACTCACTCACTCACTCACTCACTCACTCACTCACTCATGGAGCTGAGCCCTTCTTGAGGAGCCACCAATTTTGCAGCTACTCAAGAATTTCCCAGCATTTTATGGAACCCGAAAGTTCATCACCGTGTTCACAAGAGCCCTCCACTGGTCCCTATCCTGAGCCAGATCTATCCAATCCATACCATCCCATCCTATCTCTCTAAGATCCATTCTAATATTGTTCACCCACCTATGGCTTGGTCTTCCCTGTGGTCTCTTTCCTCCTGGCTTCCCACCAATATCCTATACGCATTCCTCGTCTCCCCCATTCGTGCTACCCTGACCTGCCCACCTCATCCTCCTTGACTTGATCGTTCTAATTATACGTGGATAAGAGTACAAGTTATGAAGCTCCTCATTATGCAGTTTTCTCCAACCTCCTGTGACTTCATCTCTCTTTGGTCCAAATATTCTCCTCAACACCCTGTTCTCAAAACAAACAACAGCAACAATAATAATTAGTACTTTTACTGAAATCTGTTATATCACTCTGTGAATGCAGGGTAAAATCAGGTTGGAAGTGTACCAGTATGCATAGAATTGTGAATTTTTATACTGCTTGAAATTGGGATACTTTTATAAACAATAATTATGAAAGGACAGTAATGGTAAAATTAAGAGAAAAATTCTCCTTTTCAGCCGAATACTAATGACAAATCCTCCCATCCCAGATGATTTGTCTGCTGATGTGACAGATTTCATCTTAAAACTGTTAGTGAAGGATCCACGAAAGCGTTTAGGAGGAGGAGAAGAGGATTCTGAGGAACTTAAAAGGCATCCATTCTTCAAAGTAAGTTCCCACCCATCACATGTTTGTTATCTTTTAAAAATGTATTTTGAATTGTGTCTTGTACATGGTAATATGTACTAAGAAAATAAAGATAACTGTTAATATTCTTACACACTATAGCCTCCGCATTGTATTCCTCAAGGACTTCATTATCTAAACTTGTAGTAAATCAATAATACATGATTTAGAATTTAAACAGAAGAAACTTATTATTATCACAGAATTCCACATATTTGCATAATGTTGATATGTTACTGGTACCAAGCTAATTTGCTACATTTTTGATATGCAAGTGCAGCTGTAGGAAGATGGTACGTACTATATTGGCATGCCAGAATTTCAGAAGGTTTGTATGAATATTTACCCTGCATTTTATAGGAACTTGCTCTGAAATTTGGCTGTGCTCAGCTGTCCTTACTCATTTTCTCTTTTGTGCAAAGGTCCCTGTGAACAAATGTAATTATCTTAGTAGCTAATGGAACAGGCATAAATCTTGTTTCCATCCTGTGAGCTTTATTTGGAAAATCTTTATAGTTTTTCCTTTTTAGATTTGTCTTTAAGCTGATATATTCTGAACTGTTCTTGAAGATGACGTGTTACACCTTGTATTGCTAGTTTCCTGGACCTTCCATTGATATTCTAAGAGTAAGAACATGACATTTCAGGAGCCGAATCTGCTCCAGTCCCTTGGTGAATTGTACCTACTCAGTTGGATCCAGATTCAGTGATTGAGATTAGCTCTTCCTAATAGATCCAACTGAGGATGGGAGCAGATCCAGCTCCCAATATGTTGTTTCCTTGTTAGAATTTGAGGCATTGGACAAAGTCCAGGGAACTAATAATACTGAGTGAAATATTCATAGTTTACCCTCAACAGATATTAATTTCTTGAGAATATTATGTTGCATATTTATAATTGGCAGGACATAAGAATTTTGGGTGTAAAGAACTGGAGGAATGTAGCATCGAATAGAGAAGAATGGCGAGCAATCCTGAGGAAGGCCAGGGCTCACAAAGGGCTGTCGTGCCAGTGATGATGATGATGATGATGATATTTATAATTAACTCTGTATCTTACCTTGTAGGGCATGAACTGGACTGATCTGGAAAAGAAAGCAGTTCCAGCACCGTTTACACCCAGGTTAGCAAATGAGTTGGATGTGAGCAACTTTTCTGAAGAATTCACCAGGATGATTCCTGCTGACTCACCTGATGTTGTACCTCCAAACTTTGACAAGATATTCAGGGTGAGAAAAGATTGTTTGTCTCACTTTACATGTAATGCTTATGGACAGCTTTCATCAGAAGCTTTCCCAGCTTTTAGAACAGGTATTGGAAAACTACAGGGACTGCTGTCTTGGAAGTGTTATTATGTTACAATAATGAATACTCTTGTGATAGTCTTATGGGCTTAGCTACTAGTAATAATTGTGCACTTAGCCGTTGTCTTTGCAGTTATGTCAGTGTGCATGTAATGTGGTTAAATAGTCTGTTTGAAGTATGCACGAGGAAGAAATTGGGTATTAATAAACTAATAATAGTAATGCCAAATTGCAGACTATAATAGTAAAAGAAAAGTGAAAGAGGTTATCTTGTAAAACATATATTATAAATAAAGAAAAGTAGTTCTATGTTAATTACACAAGGCATAGTTATGTGAAGTATTAATATAATTAGTCTGGTAATGATTATACTGTAGTCAGGAGAAAGAATTAATTTAAATTATTTACTAAAATATTTTACTTAATTGTGGTGTCAAGAGAGAAAATTGGTGTTGGTCTGTGGCTGTCAGAGTGAACTCTGTAATATAAGATTAGAGCAAAAGAGAAAAATCACAGTTTATATTATGTTAAATTGAAAGGAGGCTAACAAGGGGCAGGGTGGAAGGAGACAGAGACCCTTGGCCATGGATTGCAGACTGGAAGCAGTAGGAATAATACAGAGTTGACTTCACAATTCTTTAAGATGTCCACATGTGTGATGATTTGTTCTTTCTTCAGAATTTAAGTACTTTGAAGAAAGGTAAATGAGGTTCATGACTGAAATGAGGAAAAAATTATTTCAAGATGTGTTTGCTGATAGTTACTAAAAGAATTCTCATTTGCTCTCCAAAGCACAAAAAAAAAAGTTTTCTTTTCCATTGTTGTGTATGGCTATGAGGCATGATCTCATACCCCAAGAATAGAAGACAAGCTGGCCGTTGAAAATAATTTGGTTAGATAGGGATGAACTGAGCAAGGAATAAAAGAAGTCACATAATAAGAATTTATTTTGTAGTTATTGTCTCCTCATAATATAGTTAGGTTGTAATGGGATGGACATTAGCTCAAATGCAAGAAGAAGGAACATATACAGAATTTTGTGGAATCATCTTTGTAAGAGGCTATTTGCTAGGCAGAGTTGAAGATGCAAGTATGATATTAAAATGGATCTTAAATAAATTGATGTTGGTAATGTAGATTGGATTGAACTAACCCAGGATCAGGCATAATAATGGGCTTTTATGTAGCATGTGCTGAACTTTCACTATCTTATATCTGAGAGACATATGTCTTATATTTTATGAGTCAAATTGTAGCCCTATGAAGTATGAATTAAGGTACATACAAGTGTTCAGCATTGTGTTTGTTTCCTTATTAGAATTGTTATTCTTAATGCTGTAAAAATAATAGTAATGGAGATTCAGTATATTAGAATTTGCATATTTATTTATGATGTATGTCATTCAGCACACTTTGTTTGTATTTGCAGGGGTATTCATATGTGTCACCATCGATCCTTTTTAGTGAAAATGTAGTGAGTGATGAGCTCCTGAAGCATACTGCAGATAGTTGCCTGAACTCAGAAAATCTTTTAACTTGCAAATTTGGGGTAAGTGATGATATGTGTCCATTAAATTTTAAGAAATAATATATTTTGAATATGTACTGAGGGATTATCAGGGGAAAGGCAATAATTAGACATTAGGATGCAGTTTCAGAAGAATGCACAACAATAAATTTGGAATACAAATATATTATCATGCAGTATTATTGAACAGCTCCATAATTACATAGATTCTGATGCAACCTTTTTATAACTAATATGTGGTATACACACTTAAACATGTGTCAGTTTGTCATGTGAACCCATACCATGTTATTCTGACAAGTAATAACAGAAACTGGTGCATGCTTTGTCTCATTCTTAAACTTCTACATTTCTCCCAATGATTGTTACTTACAAAAAAGGTGCAGCCACTCTATGCCACAGTTGCCAAATGATTGATTTCACCCTTCATACTTCAGTTGTTCAGGTATCCTTGTGAATATTCACAAAATTCTAAAAGGAATTGAAAGTTTTGCAGTTTACTGTCTGTTATATTACTAATTTTAAGGAATTATACCACAATTTTACATCCTGTATCAAATTATTGAAATTCAGTAACATATGACTTAGATTGTTAAATGTAGAATTTTAGTTTATTTTTTAAAGTTTGTAATGTAACAGATAGTGAACTATCAGCCCTTTTAATTCCTTTTAGAATTTGGTGAACACCTCTTAGGATGGCTGAATGGCTGAAACATGTAGGTGGAATCAGTCATTTATTGATTAAATTAGCATGTTACACTGGATGGTCATATGATGCTGTCATTGAAGACCAAGTGGAAATAAACATGACCCTCACATGCTGATTAAGTAATTCTCAAAAATTTCAAAGGATGCCAGTATTAATAATGTAATAGAAACCATCAGGTATAACATGTAAGAGTTAGGAACTTTATTTACTGGATAAAATATGGCTGGAAGGGACTGCTTTAGTATTCTTGTATTTCTAGCTGTAACATTTAAACTAAATCCCTCTATGAGTGAGAGTGTAGAGAGTATTTGAATATTTACAAATTGCAGTACATAATTTATAGATATTCAGGCTCCTATTGGCGTTGCTCTTTTCTTTGTAGATTTCATGCATAACATGATTGATACTATAACATAGCCACATACATTTTATCTTGTGTTATACAGGTGTGGCAAAGGAACATTACAATTTTCAAAAGTATATATAGCAGAGAAATTTCATTTTAATTTTTAATTTATTGTTACACAATGAATGAACATTGAATGCCACTTTATTCAACACACATTTCTTTACATCCCTGTTAATTTTGTTTTCAACAGCACATCACTAAGATGTTGCCCATCATTACATATAGATTGTTCCAACATTGCTCACTGGTGTCCTAATGCTCCCCTCACCATGTTTTCTGGTATCTCTGAAATTTTCTTCTGAATTGTGACCTTGAATTCATTGATAGTCTGTGCTTTAGTGGTGTACACAGTGACCTCCGTGGATGATCTCACTGTGTGGACAGTTGCAGCACCTTGCTGGAACCATATGGCTGAGAGCTCAATTCCACAACAACTCAGTTCTGGTGTGAAGAAAGTCCATAACATTTCAACATAATGAGCAGATGTGACTGTAACTGCATGCCCATCTTCACCTTCAAAGAAATAATGGCCTGTGACTCTTAAAGTTTGCCACTCAACACTAAGCAGTCACACATGCACTGTAAAGAGGTTGTTGATGGAGCTGCTGTGGATTTTTCTTTGCCCTACAACGAAAATTCTGTTTGTTGACACACCCAGATAAGTGGAAGTGTGCTTCATCTGTCATAAGATTAATGATATTGTTGGACAAACTTCCAGTTACATGCTCACATACCGTCCTACAATTTGCCATGTCATGATCACTTAACTCCTGCATCACCACCATTTTGTATGGACGGAAATTTAGATCCTTGTGTAAAGTTCTTTTCATGCTGTGATTGGATATTTCTAGAGCAACAGAATGTCTCCTGGCTGAATGCCTATGACTCTTTATGAATGATTGCCTCACAGCCTCAGTGTTCTGTGGCAATTGCCCTGTATGTACATTGCCTGGCGGTTTCTTTTTCAATGCAAAAGCACTCATTCTGAAGTTTTCTATCCATCGCTACATGGTATTGTGTAAAGGAACCTTTCCATGACAAGCAATAATAAAATGCTTGTGAAATATTCATTGCATTTTAACAACTGAGTTACCACTTAAAAAAAATGTTTCAGCAATAAACACACAATATTGTGTGCTTCCACGTACAACCGCTCTTCGGCTGTCACTTCTTATAACCATTGTTCGCCACTTCTTGTGACCGTCCCCTATCTATCTTTATATTTATTTATTTATTTATTTGCCCGCTTCGGTAGAACACTTGACTCATTTATTTGCCCGCTTCGGTAGAACACTTTTGACTCTTCTCAGGGTTGTGTCATGGTAATAACTGGGTCAACTCGGAGACTGCACATTTAAAGCTAGTCCACTGATAGAAATAAAATACTCTATTTTCTGCTTAATCACAAATTGTTTATTTCAGAAGCAAACACTATATCTTTACTAGCAAGTACTGAGTAATGTGCCCCTTTTATTATTATCAAAGATTAATCGAACCAAACAGGCTTATAAATTTAGATATACTTGGAGAGCGCAGCCGAATGACATCTGCCTCTGGTGAATTCAAAATGCCAAGTGCTTCTGCCCACTCTATTCTGCGGGAGCATCACTTCATCACTCATTCATTCATTCATTCATTTATTTGCATTCTGTTAATCCATACAAGGTCAAACCAACCTATGGGATATATAGAACCTGTCAAGATACAAATATAATATAAACATAAAATAATGATATATACGTACATTCATAAAGACCACAATAAGGACATAAAGTAAAAACACAGTATTGCATAACAGCAGTGTCACAAAAACACATTTTGATCAAAGACACAAAGCAAAACACAGTATTGCACAACAGTGTCACAAAAACACAGTTTGAACAAATACACCATATAATAATGAAGACAATGAAACATGAATGAATTGAACTTACAGTGGGAAGACCTCCTACAACTAATCTAAATGTACAAAGGGCAAGAAATATAAAAAGAACCATATTCATTAGGAAGTTAATTGGTAATATTCATCAATACTATAGAATGCATGTTCTGTAAGGTAGGTTTTTAATGACGATTTGAAATGCTTAATATCTTTAGATAGCATTTTAATATTTAGTGGTAAGTGGTTATAAATCTTACTTCCAGAAAAGAGTACTCCTTTCTGTACAGATGACAGATTTGTAGAACACACGGCCTTTCTCCCAGACAAGAATAGTTTTCTAATGGCTGATTTTAACTGCCAGTTCATCATACCATCAGTACTAGACAATCACATTACTAACTTTGAGAATAAAGAGATCCAAAGATATTGACCCGGAACCCTACATGTGAAAGCGGTTATTTCTTAGTTTAGGGTCTAATTACACCCTTTCGAAGACACTTTTATAACAGCTACCCTATTAGCAAAACAACATTTACATCTTAGGAAAACAACAGACTTGCCTTTTCATAATGGGCCAAGTCCCTTTTGTGGTCACCCAAGCTGCAGGTAACAAAACAAGGCAGTTGTTCCTGTCCAAATGTGAAAAGAAAGTCATAACTTCCTAATGGATGGGTCTCCCTTATAAATCAGTCACTCTATTGAAATGGCTAAAGAGGAACATAGCATCCATTAAAGAGCATTAAAAGGTTTGGACTGTTACACACTGCTCCATAGCTACTGCAACAGCATCAGTTAAACTAGCAAATGACGTGGTTCCCGCCATTTCATCCTCAGGGGTTGCCACTATAACGCATTTTAAAAATCACCAGTTTCCTTTGATTGGGTTGATTGGCGGGACTAATGGGTTTATTCTCTCTTTACAGAAATCTCCGTTCTTTGAGAACTATGAACTCGACCTCAAAGAAGGCATACTTGGAGATGGAAGTTTCTCAGTGTGCCGCAAGTGTACAAATAGACAGACAGGGCAAGAATTTGCAGTTAAAATAGTGACTCGCAAGATTGACTGCACAAGAGAAATAAATTTACTTCGAGCCTGCCAGGGCCATCCAAATATTGTCAGTCTCCATGAAGTGTATTATGATGAGGTGAGTATGCACAGCCTGGGTATTATTCTGAATGTTCAGCAGTGAAAGATTCTCTCTTTATCATTTTCAGTATGTTTATCTGGGGAGATGCCAATGAATATGATAGTATTTGAAGACAGAAAAGAATGGAGAATTTTATGCCTCCAAAGCCCTGAGTTTCCAAAGCAGATTAAAAGTGTTCATGCTTAGTAAGTGAAGGATAAGTAGACAGATTCTAGTTTTACAGTTTAAATTCTGAGGAAATTTTTCTTGGCTTGTATTTTCCCTTTTCTCCTAATTGAAGTTATAAGAAGTCACATAATTGTGAATGTATGAGTAAATGTTCTTTTATACTAGGCATATGCCAGAATTAATTTTCAGTATGAGACAAGAATTGTGAACAATTTTGAGTGTGGAGACAAGAACAAACATTTTCTGCTACTAAACCAATTTTCTCTCATTCTAATCACAATTTATAACATTAACCACTTTTCACAATGCACTGAAGTGCACTGCTTATCTGTTTGATATCAGATTCGTTTTCAGTAAAAAATAGCCATAAATTATTGTATTAGAAGAATTAATTTCAAAGGTGATGTCCTTTTTCATCCATGGACAGGAGAAGGGAATTTTGTTGACAAGTTTATTCATACTAGCATTGCCAACCATTAAAATTCTGACTTATTAGATAGATTCCATTCCACTACTCAAAGGAAAAGCAGATGAATTAAAATTCATGAAGTTTGAGGTTGAAAAATCAACTTTCAAATAAAGATTTTTTATCAAATTGATCTTGAAAATTTGAGTGTCACACATTCCCACTTAATACACAGTACTTAACTAACTACATCGAGCAGAGTTCTTTATGAGAAATTAACAGTTATTCAGCTACTCAAGAAATTTCATGGAACCCAAAGGTTCATTATCATGTTCACAGGAGACTACCATTGGTCTCTGATCCTAAGCCAAGTGAATTCAGTCTTTATGCTCCCATCTTGCTTCTTTGAGATGCACTTTAATATTTCCAATTAGGGCTAGGTCCTCCATATGGCCTCTTTCCTTCAGTTTTTCTGATCAGAAGTTTGTGTCCATCTATACACAGTTATTTGAAGGATTTGGGTTTCTCACAGCAGTGGTTATGAAGAGTTCTGTCTTTTGGGATATAACGCTGTGTAGTCTGTTGAAAGGCAACCAAGCTTACTATCTTCTTCCTGCTGGTTTCTAGCTTGGCTTATTCTTTGACCTAAAGATGGGAGTGACATGTTCCTTGGAAATGTCAGTTGACTTTCAGTGAACTTTGCAGCATTATACCCCAGGAGACAGAACTCATCACATTTATTTGAGTAGGTAATTCTATTTTTTTCCTCCAAGGTTCATACATACCTTGTCTTGGAGCTATTACATGGTGGTGAACTACTAGAGAGAATTAGGAAAAAGGATAGATTCACCGAGAGTGAGGCAAGCCAGATTATGAGGAAACTCATCTCAGCTGTCAACTTCATGCACTCTCGTGGGGTTGTGCACCGAGATCTCAAGCCTGAGGTATGTTGAGTACCATCATCATATTTAAAGGTGTAGGCCCTTAGTCTCTTCCACCTCTGCTTAGTAATCATTTGCTGTTGTCTGCTTTGAGGAGCAGTCCTCTCTGGAATCTAATGATTTATAATGTAAAAATTACAGAGGTAGTCATTTATTTCGAGAAATATCATTCAGTCATTAATTCATTTATTCATGGGCTTGAAGTCCACACAACAGCAATATATGTAGGAATGATGTTTTAGTTATTAGTGAATTAACTAATTCTACATATATTCATTCATTATTTGTAAAACCAGATTAAAATGATAGTAGGTAACAGAAGGATGAAGATGAAATAAATATATAATATATTTGGAAGTTCCTTGTTGTTGTGAAGAGAAAACGAAAAAATATAACAACAGTTTTTTAATTATGCTTTTGTGGGTTGCAACATGCATATTCATGTATCATCTTTTAGAGGAATATCCTACTTCCATCTCTCCTTATGATGGAAGCAATAGGTTCCTCGAGAACACTGGAAATCGCTTATATGGCTTCACAGTGTCACAACCAAGCAGGTCACTATCTAACCTTTTACTGTCACAAAATTTTAAAATTTTATGTGAAACATGATGTATGTCTAGTGGACTGAAGTTCACTCTTTCTTGTAGCTAACATATCTCCCAGAGCAGAACAGTAACATTAATGTTGATGCATAACGATTTTTTAATATGCTTGCAGAATCTTCTTTTCACTGATGATTCAGAGCAGGCTGATATCAAGATTGTTGATTTTGGATTTGCGGGACTGAAGCAAGAGAAAGAGCCGATGCACACACCTTGCTTTACTTTGCATTATGCTGCCCCTGAAGTGCTTAAAGAGGCATTCAGTAATGGTACTGATGGGTATGATGAGAACTGTGATCTGTGGAGCCTGGGTGTGATCTTGGTGAGTGCATCCAGAGTATTCCTGATATATTAAAAATATGTTAAACAGATGAGAGGAAAAAAAGAATGACTTTAGCATAACATATATAACAAATGACTGTAACAGCACTCATGTTTTGGGTTTCTATCAGTACTATAACAAGAAGTGCATTTTAAGAGAGCCACCCACCCCTAACTAGTGTCAGAAATGAACCTTTGGGTTCCATAAAATGCTGGGAAATTCTTGAGTAGCTGCAGAATTGGCGGCTCCTCTAGAAGGGCTCAGCTCCATGAGTAAGTAAGTAAGTAATTAAGCACATTTGTAAAGTCGGAAGTTCGTATATTGCTGAGTGCACATTTAGCTTCAAGTACTGTATATGATTGAAAGTGTTATGGTTAACCCACTGAGTACCACTAATGAGATTCATTTGTGTACACAGTGAAAGGCTAGGGTTTGTCCCAAAGGTAAAGTAGGCCACAAGGGATTAAGAAAGTCACATTTAGACTGCCTTAGAATCAAATTGGAAAGAAGTCCCAAGAATTAATATGCAACATGGTACTGATTTTGTTTACAGTACACCATGTTATCTGGGCGTGCCCCTTTCCATGCTCGATCAAGAGATGACAGTGCAGCAGCTGTGATGGCCAGGATCAAAGGGGGAGAATTCAGTTTTCATGCTGATGCGTGGAATCACGTTTCAGCAGAAGCAAAATATGTGACCAAAGGTAAGAATTTTTATAAATATATCAGTAGACAGGAGAATTAGGAATTTTTTACAGCAACATACTGATATTTGATGACAAATGTATTTATTTTTATTTAAAGTCTATTTAAGATAGAATTAACCTTAACAGGTAGCAAAGGATGGTTCTAATTTTGTGTTTAAATTAACGTAAAATGGTTTTTGAGATCAACTTCTGTTTTGTATTTGTATTTGAAACCTGATTTTCATAAGTACTGATACTCTTTTTTCCTTTATCAGTTTATATGAATAGCAGATTTATGTTTAGAAGATCTATGGGCAGATGGATGGATGTAGGTGAATGGATGCGTGAATAAATCAACCAATTTAGACAGAAATCATATATATTTGTATATACCACACTGCTGATTATAAAGATAGAATTTGTTAGATCTTGCAATGTGAAGGAACATAAGAAATCATAAGATTCCCAAAATATGGACAATTTTTCTAAATGTCTTGAGTTTGAGTCCAGTTATTGCCCATTAAGATGTAATATTTATACTGTGTACTTAACTTTAATTAGCTCTGAAGTGATAGATTATGCAAACTGCAATGATGATGTTAATACAAGTGATCTCTTTCATAGGTCTTCTCACAGTTGATCCGAAGAAGAGACTGAGAATGAGTGATCTCAACAGCAACGAATGGTTACAAGGAAATAATGTGAAACTGTACTCTTCAACACCGCTTATGACTCCAGATATCCTGACTACTGGATCCTCAGCTCGTTCAGCAGAGATAGGTGTAAAGCAGACATTTAATGCTTTCCATCAGGCTCATCGGGAAGGATTCAGACTGCAGGTCAGTAGTGTGATTCCTTTTTGGTAGTCTTGGTTCTATGTATAATGTGTAAAGTTGTGTTATAAGTATGTACAAACATTTCCACCTGTAGCATAAATCTGTATCTTCATTTTTAATGGTCTTTTTTTCCAATAATAGATCAAGGCATAAGGGAATTCTCACTTACCTCTTGTTATTCATTTACACTTGTGATGTTAAAAAATAATAAATAATTGTGTAATGACAAACAAAGGTAAAGCATGCAGTACAATGTTAGTATTATGAAAATATATAAAATTTGTAAAAATGCAAGTCCTAACAGATACTTGAAAGATATGAAAATGGTTTAAATATATGAGGGACAGTCAAAAAGTTCCTGGAATGGTGGTATAGCACTCTAATGGTAGGACATATGGCAACGCTTACCTAATCACCTTCAAAATAGGACCCTTGCACACACACACTTGCTCCATCGATTCTGCCATCGTTGGAAGCAATGGTGGAAGGCTTCTTTTGGAATCTTCTGGAGCTCAGCTGTAGCATTCGATTTAATGTCCTCCGTGGTTGTGAAACGTGTCCCCTTGAGGCCCATTTTCAGAGTAGGGAATGGCCAAAAGTCACTCAGAGTGAGATCCAGAGAGTACGGTGGTTGAGTGATGACAGGAATGTTTTTCTTGGTGAGGAATTGCTGCACAACAAGTGATGTGTGGCTCAGTGCGTTATTGTGATGCAGAAACCACTGTCCCCGCCACTTGTCACATCGCTTCCTCTGAACAGCATCGTGCAACCTCTGCAAAACTTGCACGTAGAAATGGCCAGTAACAGTACCATCTTCTTGCTCCAACTCCGCGATGGTCATTCTTCGATCACATCGAATCAGTTGTCGCACTTTTCCAATCGTTTCTTTGGTTCTGGATGTCGAAGGTCTCCTGCTGCACTGGTCATCCTCTAACATATCCTGCCCATTCTTAAACCGGGAAAACCAGTCATAAACTGCAGATTTCTTTAGTGCAGTATCACTGTAAATTTGCTGCAGGGCCGATAGCATCTCTGAAGCAGATTTTCCCAATTTGCACATGAACTTGACGTTTGAACGCTGTTCGAACTGCAACATTGCGCCGAATGACCAACACTCAAGTCTAATTCAAATGGAACAGTAACGACACTGCACACTGAAACCTGTTCAGACCTGTTGCGCCTGCAAGCAGACATGCTGAGCTTCCCACCACAACAGTGTGTGCTATATCTTATCGCTCTTTCTCCATCTGCAGGAGAATTCCGGGAACTTTTGACTGCCCTATGTATAACTAAAAATCTAACCTCTCGCATCCAAGTACATGTAATATAAGATGGCAGTGCTTTTAAGTGCTTGCGACAGAGTTATGAAAATAATAAAGAATAATGCAGCATTCTCATCATCTTTAGCATTATTTGAATCAAACAGTTAGAGGCTTTCTTGAATGTACCTAACCTCCCCAATTCAGAACCAACTGCTAATTTAGGAACATAAGTCCTTTCCATAATTTAGTGCACACTCACAAGTCTCACCCACATTGCATTCAAAATTTACTGCAAGCTGACAAGCTCCACTGACATTCTGCCCACAGTTTGTTGTACATTCATACTTGTGAGAATAAATGCATTGGCTTGTATGGAACTGAAATAACACATGAAGTAGATAACATCCCACCTATATTTCTGTGTATACACTACATTACAAGTTGCCTTACATGCTACAACTGGAATACATACAATATTTTGATGTTATGTGTGTAAGATATGTTTGTAAATTGCCAATATGCTTCACAGTACAATGTATGTAATTGGCATGTAAACTGTACCCATAACTGACTAATTTGGTAACACAGTCAAATGAACACATTTAAGTTACCACATTCTAATGAAAGGGGCACGCGGTAGCGTAGTGGTTGAGATGCTACGCTATAAGCTGGAAGGTCGTTTACTCAGCCTCTAACAGAAATGAGTACCAGGAATTAATTAAATAATTTTCCTGGGGAGTAAAATGCGGCCGGCGCATAAGGCTGACAACCTTACTACCATCTTTGAGCTGATTGTCTAGATAATGTGGGACCCTCAATGTCTCACAACCCTATGGGCCTTCACGGCGTTAGAGGGATAGCTTTACTTTACTTTACTTTTACTTTTACATTCTAATGAAAATGACCCTGTTTATAATATATATGGATACCATACCACCTGTAGTTCCCTCATGAAAAAGGCACGATATTCGTGTGTTTTTGGCATGTACAGTATTTTCTCTCTGTTCCTAAAGAATGTCAAAGAAATTAATCTACACTGCATTGACAAGCTGCTGGCTTTATACAAACGTTTTATTTCAATCTTTGTATTCAGTATCATGATTAGTTACACCAGTGGAATAAACTATACCCATGAATCTGTATAGTTGTATTCTGTAATATTATTGTGTCATCATAGGTAATTTCGTTGCTTTATGTACTGCAAAAAATTATCTTAACAGAGATGTGTATTTCTCAAAGAATATCATGCATAATTTCAAGGCATTAGACTAAATGACACCAATGTTACCTTCACCTTACAGGCTGGTTTGACTGCCATGTTGGTATTGTCCATTTTAGGATGTTAAAAGTACAACACTGAAGTGGTGTGTAGTGGCATAATATTTTAAATTTTTCTGTTAAGGAAGTACAGTAGCCCAGAAAGTCTCTCCAGGGAGGCATTGCATAATATAATTACCGTATTTACGCATGTATAGGCCGCACATTTTTTGCCAAAAATTCAAGAGGAAAACTGGGTTGCGGCTTATATTCGAAATATTCGAAATCACACTTCATTTAAAAAAAAATTATATTCATAATTAGTAATACAGGGTGTTCTACTCCTGAAATAATATTCCAAGAAAATTATTTTTTCTATAATTTCTGTCTGAAAATTGTGCTGCGGCCTATACATGTGTAAATACGGTAATATAAAAATCTAAAATTGTTCCCCTGCTTAACTATTTAACAACTATGCCATGAAGATTTACGGGGTGGGCGTCAACGCAATGGCAACGCTCCGAAGGTGTTACGTCACCACTAGCTGGGGAGGGGATGTCCTGCATAGCACAAATACGCCACAGTACCAACAGTAATGGTTTTTAAAATACTTTTTACTGGGTATTATAGGAATCACAAGATTCTTAGAATTAGAGAGAGAGATTCTTTTGTGATAGAACTTATTTTCTTTTTTAAATATCTTGACTCAAGTCAGTGGGTGGAGAGGATTCTTTCTTTTAGCATGTAAGCAACTTAAGGTCATTGAACAGACTACTTAGAAGCTTAAGAAAATCATACGCTACTTTACATGACTATAAAAGTTAGTTTGAATAAACTTTCATGGGTACCAGTGTGCAAAATGTGGAATGTATTATTAGAAATGGGACACTTGGGAACCTTAACCTTGGATCAAAGTCAGTTTTATTTCATTGTTCCAAACCATGAAATCCAGTGGACTGGAGTGTGAGGCATGATGCCTTGCTGTTTTTTTTTCTGGATCAGATTGAAATCATCCTGCAACCTAGAATGATCCCACAAGTTGCATTTTCATACTCAGTTCTGGAGTTCATGTTTTACTAACCCATAATTTTTTAATTTACACTTTTGAAAAATCTTGCTTCCTTTGGTATCTCACTTATTTTCAAAGGTGAAGTACATGTCACGATTTAGTTCAAAAGCTGTGAAGTGTGGGCCTGTTGATCAAAGTCAACTTCTAGTTTTGTTATGGGTGTATTCTTGTATTTCTCCCAAGCATATTTAAAGGATAGTAGGATGGTCAGTGTGTCTGATGAGTATTTTCCAGGGACATTCTAATCATTGTATTTGGCTCTGAACAAATGTGTATATTATTTAATCAAGTGATTTTCATCAGACTGGATAAAAGCCCCATAGTCTGACTAAAGTATTTCATAAATATCAAAATGTTTGAAGATGTAGAGAGGTTATGATGCAAGAATGAGCTTGCTTTGTACTGGCCTTTCTGTTTTGTCATCTCTTCCATGCTTCTTTCTCTGAAGTGCAATTGCAATGAACTGAATATTGTTTTATTGTGGCCAGGATGTTATGAATGCTAAGCTGGCACAGAGGAGGCGGATGAAGAAGTCGTCAACTGATGCACGTAGCTGTTCTACTTCTAGCAGTTTTTCTACCTCTAGTTCCTCAGGTGGGATACCTTAATTTTGTTTAAGAATAAACAAATTTACACAAATTGAAATAGGTCCAGAGACTATAGACTGTTGCATAAAGCTTTTCGCTCAAGCCTGTTCTCTTGAATTTCCAAATATTTGTACTAAACTTCATTCTAATCTTTTCTTTTCTACTTTACATCTCACTTGATCCACATAATGATACCTTGGCTGTCTGAGTAGCCTTTTCTGCCTCAGTAGTAATACCAACACTCTGAAGAATTCTGTGGCATTCTTTCTCATAGTATGGTCAAAACATAAGAATCTGTTCATAAATTTTGGATTTTTCCCTTTCTCACCTTCTCATTTTTAATTTTAGCTGCTATTGTTTTTCCTACCCTACCTCTCAAGAATTTAATCTCAACAGCCTGAATTTCCATTTGATCACATCCTCAATTGCATAACCAATGAAATGAGCGCTACATTACTTTTATTTTCTCTCACCCAATTCCTTAGATAGTGCTTTTCCACTAAGGGAGTAGGTACATTGTCACTTTTTTGATAGCAGCACTGCAAAATGAATATTGCTGTTTTGTCAAGTTTAATATCTTGGTATAAATGTAACTGTCTCTCCAGAACTTTTCAAAGTTATTTAAGTTCGGTACATTTTTGATGATTTTTTTAAAATTTCCCTTTGAGATTTCAACAGGGTAGCATAGCTAGGATATTTTTAAAACTGCTAAGTTAATCATACCAAAAAAAAAAAAAAAGAATTGAAAAGAGGGAGATAATGTCATGTCTCTTTGAGAGATCCAAACCGGAGGGATTTACTTTGCCAGTATGACTTTCAGTGATCAACATATTTCTAGTCCTGTTCTTTGGAAAGTACATTTTTCCCTTTATTGGTTGATTTCTCCATTTGCAGAAGGAGCTGTTTCAGGTTACATAATCTGATTCAAGCATTATTAACCATCAACCATAGACCAGAGTCCATCTTGAGCTAGTCAAATCCCGTGCCTCTTATAGGTCACAAAGTTCCATCACTGTGAAGAATTCTGTCTTCATGAAAGCCTCAAAGCTATATTTTATCAATGTGCCACTAGGGACTGCCACTGGAACTATTCCTAAGTGAGATTAATCCAGGCAACAGTCACACACCTTATTTCATTGCTTTGTATTATCCTCTCTCTCTCTCTTGCTCACTTGCTCGCTCGCTCACTCACTCACTCACCCACCTAACCTCACCCAACCCAACCCAACACCACCCCACCCCACTCCACTCCACTTCACTCACCTCCACTCCACTCCACTTCACCTCTCTCAAGTCACCGAACTCCACTCACCTCACTCGACTCTACTCAACCCACTCCACTCCACTCCACTCCACTCCTCTCCACTCACCTCACCTCACTCACTCATATCATTCTCACTCACACATGTACGTATCTCCACCATTCTTGCCTTTGGCACTAGATGGGAGTGAGTGGTCAGCTTCATGTGCTAACTGCTTTACACCTGGAGAAATTGCTGCCAGTACCCACTGGATAGGAGGCTGAGTGGGCCCCAGAGCCTATCTGGATGCTGTGAAGAGAAAAATCTTGCTCCTGTTGGGAATCAGTACCTACCTATACAGCCTGTAGCCCATCACTATGCCATAAAATCCCTTGAATAATCCAGGCTTTTCTGCAAGCACTGCCTGAGCATGAATATGTAACTGTAGCAGAAGTCCATTCCAGTATTTTACAACCATGTGCACACAATTTGCTGGACTGCCTTGTTGTTTCCAAAGAAGCCAAATCCAGACTGTAAGGAGGAAGGAGGGCGGGTGCTTCCCAGCCAAACTTCTCAATTTTTCCTGGTGTCAGGTGTGCAATGTGAGGGCATGCATTATTGTGTTAAAGAATGACATTTCTTTTCCTCAGGCTCTTGTCATGAAATGCATGTCACATTTGTGGAGCATCTGAACATAGTGAACTACACTGACAGTTTCCTTTATGGGCAAGAAAATCAACCAGTATTCACCCCTCAGAATTCCAGAAAATTGTTGTAATTCTTCCAGCTAAGGGTACAGTTTGGTTCCTTCTTTGGAAGGTGTAAATAGCCTCAGCAGCTGACGTGCCTGTAAACCCGCTAGAACTACTTGGGGATGGAATGTGATGACATTCCATGCTGTTGTTTTGGGATCAAAGTGTTAGAACCAGATTTCATCACTAGTCACGTTTTTGAGCACAAAGTCATTGCCTTTGGCAGTTATGTCATTGAAGCAAGTATGATTTCCCACCCTTCTGCACTTGTTTGTCAGCAGTTGGAGAGCCAAACAACAATCAATTTTCTGATATCCCAAAGTCTCTCTCATCTACTGTATGGCTGTGCTATGATTTAAGATCATTTGCAGTCATTTAGTTGCAGTGGATTATGAATAAATACTGGTGTGAATGCCCTGGACCCATATTTCAGATTGCAGAAAACAGATAAAGTTTTTGGACTGTCTTGTTATGACAGTAAAACATACATAAATAGATGTTGCTCATTACGTTTGGTACAACCCTCATTGGTCACACCAGTGATCTCTTACCTAAAGGTTTTCTGACAAATTCTCTCCAATGTATGCTCAATGTCCAACCCAGCTAATCTTTCATCACTTATATTATCTGGTGAAAAGTAAAAATTATGATTTATTTAATTTACACACATATGGGTAACATGGAAAGGACCAGTCACTTAGCAGAAACATAAGTGTTCATGTGCTTACAATGTGTTTATACTGGACACTACCTGGCAGTAACTTATTCGTAGTAGCGAAAGAGGCTGAATGGTGGTGGTGGTGGTGGTGGTGGTGGTTGTGTCTTCTCTTTTTGTGTGTTGGTTCAACTTGACCTTGAAAAAATTAAACCATATCTGATGCACTCCTGCAAAGGTATTTTGCTTTTGCACAGAATATAAAAGGATGAACCAAAAAAAAAATCTCTTTAATACATTTAAGATTGGAGAGTGTGATCATATATAAGCTGTGAACTTGACACTTGCAGGTACCTCTTCTATCCAGACACCACTGAAGGTGAATACTTCTGGGTCATCATCTGTAAGTGGCCGAGTATTTAAACATAAACACGCTAGTAGTTCACAGGAAGACAGTGGAAAAATCTTCAGTTTTCGGGATGCACATGTACGTGAATATCTGTCCAGCCTTTCATCAGAGGATTCTAGCAGCTCCTGCAGGTGCTCTGCTGATGGGCCAAAATACCTCACTGGAGGATCTTCTGTGGAGGCACATCCAGTCACTAGTTTCTCTCCAAAACGGAAAAAGGTGGCAGGGCCTGAAGAAGTGGTTCCTTTGTTTGAAGACATTTCAAGCCATGGAAGTGTGGAAGTGATAAATCATGTCCCAGGTGATGCATGTGGTGAAGCAGGTGAAACAGTCACTACAGATAAAGATGCAGCATCTCTCTGCATTCTATATGAATCACAGCAGAGTAAGCCAGATGCTGGCCTTTTGAAAGAAGACTCAAAACACCTGCAATGTGATAGTGACTGCATGTTAGTATCTGTTCTTGGTAGTCATTCCAGTGATAGGTTGGAAGGACCATTAACACGATCCAGAAAACGACAAATTAACGATTCAGCCAATTCAAATTGTGTAGGTAATGGCAGTTGTAATGGTGATAGTGGTGAGGATGGTAAAACTGTGAAACGCAGGAAGTACGAAATGAAGCAACGCTATGGACACCGACATCGCCGTGGAGGTAAAAGGGTCAAGCGAATCTCTACTGTTGTTATTGAGTGAATTATCTGCACGACAAAGAGCAAGGACAAATCTATGTTTAGTTTGTTAGTGTAAGAGTTGTATGGCAAAGTACAAGAACAATTTAATGTTTATTTCTTAATGTAAAAGTCCAGAAACAGGGCATGTGTAATAAAACTATAGTGCTTTATTGTTCCATTATCCATTAATAAAGAGAGATATTTTTAAAAATGGAAGAACTTAAATGTCTTACATCACTGCACATACAAGCACATACAAATATCTTTTTGTACCTATTTTAATGTAATGAAATGTCATAATATACATATTTTTTGTAAGAAACTAGTCGAAACGCACAACAGAGAACTCTGTACTTCGGGGCAGGACTATTGTATTGTGACTTTTTTATGTATATAAGACTGCATCCTGTTTGTGTCCATCATTGAAGGTTTCTGGATTAGCCATCACACAAACTATGTTAAAACTTTACAGTTAAATTTTTTTCTCTTTGTTTTGTTTTTGTCTCACACATGTTCTGACTGCAATGCAGTCATCAGGTGCCAGAACACAAATTTATTAACGTCTACACTGTAATGCAAGGAACAATAAAAATGTATGTAACTGGGTGAAAGTGCAAAGTGAAAAATTTTTGTTAGATCCAACTAAACTGCATAAGTATGTATATTAATGAATAGTTCCCATCTTGTATTATACAGTATTTTGTTTCTGAATTCTGCTGGGCCCTCTGTTTTCTTATATTTTGTTCTACTTCCAGATACCTAGTCCAAGACAGATTTATAATTCAATGTTATAGGTCCTTCAATTTTTGGTGTGAATCTTTATCAGACTATGCAGAAATATGTGGCACTGAATATTAGAAGTCAGCAGGTCTTCAGTGCAAATAAACTTTGGTGATAAAGGTGGAAATTCACTTAACAGTAAGGATCTGAAGTTGTGGGCTAAAGTGGTGACATTGTGTTTTGTATAAATAACCAAATTTGAAAACTTTATGTAAGAGATGTTGTGGGATCTTTGGTGTGTGGAAGAAGAATGAAATGGGAGTATAAATTATTTTGTTATATTGTCACTTACTGTGAGTGGATGGTGTCATATTCTGAGTACCAGGACTGAAGTATAGGTGTAATGGAATGGATATTCTTGTGGCAATGTAGTCTGTAAGGAAGTGATGACTGATAGGAAATGTTAGGTAGTGGGTAGAGGTGAGGAGTAATTTTTCTTCTAGATAGAATGATTGTTGACTGATAGACTGATGATGCTACATATTGGATTTTTCATATCAGAAAATAGACGGATTAAGGCGGTTACCTTGTTGGCAAATTTTATAAATTCAGTATTTTTCTAAGGCGTTCGTATAAGCTCCTTTCTTTGTTGTATGAAGTATTTGTACAGTGTCTTTAGGGGGCTATACGAATTTCCTTTTTCTTGAATGTGTTAAATGAATTTTGAATTTATTTTGTGTAATAACACAAATATGTTAACTAAATCTAATTTTAAAGTTTCCACCGGTCTGTCCTACATGTATTTTGGAGTATTCACACTATTTATACTTATGTACAGTTTAAGTTAGATATGATATAAATTATTCTGTATAAACTTTTATCCATTTACATATATTTTTATCATTCCTTGCATTACAGTGTAGATTCTAATACATTTGTGTTTTGGCATCTGATGATTGCTTTTTAGCTGAGACATTCAGTGTGAGATAACATAAAAAATAATAAAACTATGAAGTTTTAACATTAATTTGAACGATGGCTGATTCAAAAACCTTGAATGCTGTATTGTAACTTTTAGTAAACAAGAATGTATTCCAAAGATATATAAGTTTAGGTGACAGGTTCTTATTTTTGTTTATCTTTAAGCAGTTTGCATTTTCTTTAGTTTAAGGTTCACTGTTTAAACTGCTTGTTAACATAAAACAAGTATGTAACTGTAAATATTACATGAAACACAGTCTGGATTGCAAGAGATTCTGGTTCAACATATGATGAATGGTTATAATGAGAAGTACATGTAAGGAATAGAGTTGAACCGTTTGAATCTTTTCCCTGGAAATTCAGTTTTGTATTGTTACATATTTTTGCATCTTCAAATTGTATTTCTTAATACATTTGTTTTAAGTAAAGACAGTAAACTTTTGGGAAGTTGGTGGGGAAGAATTTATAAATAATTTTCATGCACCTAGTTAAACTCTGAGAATTCTGTTCCAGTACTCTAGCTGAATGATGTCTACCAGTCAAGTAGAATTTATGATATATTTTTGTTGCTTGTTAGTTTGATTGCATATTAGTCATATTTGTTAATTTTTTTTTTTAAATTTAAAGATAAAGGGGCTCAGGGCAAGCAATATACTAACCCACTGAATACACATTTTGGAAATTTAATAGTTAATTTACTGATAATGGAGCATCAATGAGTTTTTCCCCATGGCAGTTAATGTGTTGGTGTAGAAAAGCTATAGTGGTAATTTTTAACACAACAGAGCAATTGTTTCTCTCTCATAATTAGTTTATATACATTTAAATCCTGGAGAGATGCAGTTTTTTTGAAAGAGACCATATTATTGGCCAGCTGTAACTGAAATTTAAGTATAATTTTTTCTTCATAAAACTTGCAAATAATATGTAAATTAAAATATGTATACACATAACACCATTTTAAAAAATTTTGGGTATATAAGAATAGTGCAAATACATAGATGTATGAACACATTTCTCTAATGACATTTGATATTTACAGAGCTGCATGTACTTTTGGAAGTCTGTTTTGTGTTTTAAGCAAATACTGACATTTCCATCAACTATGAATAGCCTGTTGATGAATCAGTGACATTTCAGCAAAGCAAAGTGTCATGAAAATGTGACACTACTTACAGGATACAGCTCCATTAGGTAGCTATGGCTTTAACCAGGGTGGCCTTATCAGGCATTAGCCTGGATGTGCAAATAGGACATACGAGTAAATAAGATCTTTTGCTATGTGTGCAAAACCATCAATAAAAGTGTTAAAACATTTTAATTCATAACAGAAAGTGTGATAACAGAAGTTTCGATAGTGGTTAGTACGTGAAAGTGAGTCAATTATTTTCAAATGTTGCCTTTGTGGAAGTCATTCAAGAGACAGGTATGAAAAAAATCTTAAGATAAAGCAATATTTTTAAGTCTCATCCCAATGAATGGTATTTATATGCAAAATGATGGCTGTAGTTGTACCCATTCTGAACTGAGGTGATGGATACACAACCAATGTCATTGGTTTGCCTTAATATTTTCGTGTCTCAACTGTGATTTAGAATGAATGCAAGTCACATTACAAGAAACATGTCCTAGTTTGTGGATAAGTAAGAAGTATTTTGTAAAAAGAATTTAAATTAAAATTATTGTGTGACTGAGTCAGGAATGCATATGGAATTTCATGTATTTGGTTGGGGTCACTGTAGCTGACTCCTCCCAACTGAAGCATAAGATGGGCAAAGTTGCCATCTGTCTCTCACTGGTATTTATTATTTTCAAAAACTGAATAATATATAATATAATATAATATAGCATAATATATGGATTAAAGTTTGATCTTAAAATGTTATGTATATATGATAGATGTTGGGATTTAAAATAAAATGTTATATATAATTCATAATGAATATGCATATTATTGTATTTACATATGACTTTGTCTTCCATTGCATAGAGATTTCTGTTCCATATTCATTTTCTAGAATATTTCATGGATTTCAGTCAGAATGTACCTTACTGCACTGCATTTAACCAATCAAGTGGTTATGATGTGTGGTTTTCATGCATGTTTCCAACTACACTGTTGTAGATATAATGACCGTCAGCAATGCAAAATTGTATGTTGTGCTTGCTAGATCTTCTAGTTACTTCAGAGTGTGACAGGAAGGTGCTGACTGCTTGATAGCTATTCTAGGTTCAAGTTTAGACACATGTAATGAAATAGTATCTAGAACCAGTATGTCATCTTCATAGCACCCGATACATCAACTGGAGACTCCATTGTACTGGACTGACGGACGAGCTTAGGTGTCCTATGAGCAGAAGCTTGACTAAGTAGGATGGCCTCATCTTGAGTTTTCTGTTTGCCCTCTGCAGGTTTTTGATGTGACAACTCCAATGAATATTTGTCATCACTTAGGTCCTCATATGATCCAGCCACAGAAGAAGGTCTGCACATAAATCATCAAACCAGTATTTAATTACAAATGCACTAGACTCCAAAGGATCCACTATTGAGCAGTTTCATGAACAAAGCTACACTAAAAGATGTTTTTTTTTGTCATTGGGTGAGACTTGAGTCCACTTGGTACTGTGGCCACTGTTTGGTCTATTGTACCGGCCCCAGATGATAGGCGATGATTGTGGAGCAATTAGTGGAATACAAATTGGCAGGGGAAACAGAAGTACTTGCAGAAAACCTGCCCCAGTGTCACTTTGTCCACCATAAATCCCACATGACTTGACCCATGCTCGAACACGGGCCGCTGTGGTGGGAAGCTGGTGGCTAACCACCTGAGCTATGGCATGGCCATAAGATGATGTTTTCAGTTATACTTCTTCAAACTTTCAGGTCTTTATCTCCACTGGCAGTTGCGAAGTAACCAGTTTTGAAGCAGAGGTACTGATAAGGCAGAAGTTCTTTATAGTTTAATGTGGGTATGAACCCCAATCAGGATATGGTGCTCATTATCACATTCACAAAAGTTTATCTTTGTCTGAAGTGAGGGATGGCATATAGAAGAGAAGAATCAGATCATAACTTTGTTGGGATCAATAGCAATCAGTTCAGATGTCAATGATATGCTGTACATCAGCTGTTTAGATGAGATTAGGTAACTGTTGTTGAAAACACTGCCCTAACTTGTAGCAGCAGCAGCAGCAGCATGTTGTCTGAAGGATTACTATACAAAGGAAAAACTGCCACTATCTACATGGAAACAAACTACAGTTAGTATAATTTAAACAGGGTGATAAACCTACATTATCTACAGTTTAACAGTCAAACGATAAGGAATTATATAGATCTTTATATTGCTGAAGATGACTACAGTTTTGTTGAAGCATGTAGAAAATTTGGACTGTAAAAGATACAAGCTGTCTTCCCAATATGCAGTATCAAATAATGAAAGTATAGTGGCTTGAATCTCAAAGAATGAAAAACTGGTGTATAAATGTATAAATAAAAATCAAATGATGCACTTCAATTTGAGGAATACTGTTTCCAACTATATCTGATTCTGCAACCCTCACTGATCTTCATGTTCTGTTCTTGCACACAGTGCTGACAGAACTAATCAACAGTGCACATATAACACCGCATATAGTCATAAATATTACTACTGCATGAAAAAGAGAATAAACATTTTTCTGGTGGGGTAATGAAGTTTACATGTAAATCCCCTATGCTACTGAAAGGAATAGACATTTACTCTTCTGTTGAGTTGAAATAATATACATAATTTCTAGGTATATTTATGATCTGTCTCCATATAAAATTTCATATGACTGTCTCCAGGGATTCATTAGTTAATACAACGAAACCGAAACGTAAATTCAGGGTGTGGTGAAATCAGTTGTTTTAAAGTGCAATGCTGTAGAAGGGAAAGTGGAGTAGGTGAGTTTTATGTGTACAAGGCCATTCATAAGTGTATGCAGTTTCGACTACCACGGTGAATTGGCCTGTGAATCACTGTGTTTGCTGTTGAAATTTCTTTACCTGACAGTCTCTTGTGCTTCTAAGTTTGCAAATGACCACCACACAAAGTTGTGTAACCCCCCACCCCCGCCTCAGAACACACTACATGATTTGACAGTATGTGGTCTTTGAGGGTGTCATTTCTTGAGTAGACAACCCTAGAGAAGAGAAGTCTTGTGTTTTCGGTGACATGTCTGATATTGCAATTTTGACTACGATGTTATGTTGACAATCTGGTAATAACTTTCTAATGATGATATAATACACTACATCCCTATATGATGACCATGCATCTTCAAAGACGTTTTAGACAGAGTATATTACAACAGTATTTGCTTGAGGGAATCAGAAAAACAACAAATGAATCTGAGGAGCATAAGTGACCTCCACATCAAGAATTGAATCTCAGACCTTGTGAATATGAAGCAGGAGTGCTAAATTCCATAATCACTATATTTAGTACCAATCTGGAGGTGGGATAATAATATTAAAATGGTGTTTAGGAAAATCAATAGCGATGATGTTAACTGGACTGAACTGCTGCAGAATGTCATCCAATGGATGGTTTTTATGGTGTCACTGTTGGTGACTACAATAGCTCTTAAGCATCTGTAACAGGGTATGACTTGCAGGGTTGAATAAACACTGACTATGGCACTAGTGACTCTGATCATGTGCTAGGAATAAAATTATGAATAGGAAGAAAATATCATGTAACATGCCTGACAGGAATGCAACGCAGACATTCATTGAATGTCCAATCCTTGCCAAATTCCTCTCCTTCTTCTATGGTCTGTGGCAAGTGATGATGTAGAGTTTCAGGCAGGCGCAGACCTGACAGGCCGCCCACAACTGACACCACACCCAGAATCACCAATGGCAACACCAGAATGTCTCTTCCCTGTGACATATTTAAATGACATATATCACTATAATGAAGTGCTTATTGAAGTTTCAGAGTGGAAAAGGTATACAGCAGTGAAGAAAAAAATTTCCAGATGTGTTATTTTCTATTTTGCATACTACAATTTTAACATAAAATTCAAAATGATGATGAAACACAGGGGATGCACAGTTAAGATGGATGAACCAACATACAGGTACTCTTCGAGAGGACAGAGCAAATGAGGCATGGCCAAGTCCATTAAGATGATGACAGTGATCTTGACATTCACTTATTGAAGGTACAAATCTGTTCATGCAAATTAAACCACACTATACTTGTAGACCCCACGCTGCACAGAACTAATGACCACTGAGGTAACACAACCTGAAGATTCAGAACTGCTAATACCAAAGCCTTCCACTGGACATGATCCTAAGTCAGTTTCATTCATCTCTCATCCTCACAGCCTACATCCCTATCATCTTACTTAACATTAGCCTTCTGTGTTCTTCTTCAGCTTCCAAGAGGACATCTGCCAAGAGGTTCCCCATCAATTCTGTATGCATGCCTTGACTCCCCAATCCTAGCCACATGCCCAGAAAACTTAGATTTCATCATGTTACTAATACTAGCAGACTTCTAAAAATGAAGTTCCTCATTATGTAGAGTTGAGATACCTCAGTTGGTACACTGATGGGCTATGGGCTGGACGACTTGAGTTCGATTCCTGGCAGTGCAAAATTGTTTTCTCCTACACAGGTTCAAGACCAATTCTGGGGCCTACCCAGCCTTTTATCCAATGGGTTTTGGGAGGCTTTTCCCCTGGAAATAAAGTGGTTGGGGTGTTAAGCTAACAATTCACTTCTATCTAGTGCTGAGGTCAAGAATGGTGGAGCTATAACTACACTCTCCCATATATCTTCATGGTATAATCCTTAACTAATTTAGCACAGGGACACCTTTACCTTTTACCTCATTACGAGTATATAATTCACAGATTGCTAATTTACTTCATCCTCACACACTGCACAGTCAGACATTATATCCTGTATTTCACTTAACATTTATCTATGAATTGATGTTGAATATGAGAGGCAGACTCACCAGATACGTAACAAACGGTATCACTGTGAGGCCAAGGCCAGCAATGTATGCAGACATCCCAATACCGATACCTCTCAGTTGTGTGGGATACAGTTCCCCAGCAAAAGGGTAAATAATGAGGAAAGATGCTGAGATGAAGAACTTGGAGGCGAGAAACAGTACAAGTATCTCAGTAACTGCATCTGTAAATTAATATTTCATGTAGTATTATTAACATTCGAACAAAGAGATCACTTGGGAGACCTAGGCATAGCTGGGAGGAAAACATTAAAACCATTCAGTCCATAACCTTTTGTCTTCTAATCTGCTATCTAGAAACATAAAAAGTAGAATATAAAAAACTATAATTTTGCCCGTGGTTCTGTATGGATGTCAAACTTGGTCTCTGGCATTAAGGGAAGATCATAGACTGAGAGTGTCTGAGAAGAGAGTGCTGAGGAGAATATTTTGACTGAAGAGAGGTGAAGTGATGGGAGATTGGAGAAAACTACATAATGAGGAGCTTCATAACTTGCACTCTTTGTCAAGTATAATTAGAATGATCAAGACAAGGAGGATGAGATGGGCAGGGCATATAATATGAATGGGGGAGAAGAGGAATGCGTATAGGATATTGGTGGGAAAGCCAGAAGGAAACAGACCACTAAGAAGACCAAGATGTAGGTGGGCAGATAATATTAACATGGATCCTAGAGAGATTGGATGGGGTGGTATGGACTGGACTGATCTGGCTCAGGATAGGGACCAGTGGCAGGCTCTTGTGAACATGGTGATGAACCTTCAGGTGCCATGAAATGCTGGGAAGTTCTTGAATACCTGCATAACTTGCAGCTTCTCAAGAAGGGCTCAGCTCTATGAAGTTCATAATTTAGTTAGTATGTTTACTGAATGGATTCAGTTGGCTCAGTACTAAGCATTCATGAACATGGCAACAAACCTTCAGAGTTCCATAGAAGGTAGGGAATTTCTTCGTGAACTGAGCTACTATCCACTTAGGCCATGTCATAACTCAGGTGGTTAGTCACTGACTTCCCACTGTGGCAGCCCAGGTTCAAGCCTGGAACAGGTCATGTGGGATTTGTGGTAGAAAGAAGTGGCACTGGGGCAGGTTTTCTCTGAGTATTTCAGGTTCCCCCACCAATCATCATAGCACCAATTGCTCCACAGTCACCACCATCTATGATCTGGGGCTGGTATAATATGCCAGTGGTGGCTGCAGTACCAAGTGGACACAGTCTCACCCTGCTAAGAATAGTAATACTTACTTACTAATGGAGTTGAGCCCTTCTGGAGGAGCCGCCAATTCTGCAGCTACTCAAGAATTTCCCAGCATTTTATGTAACCCAAAGCTTCATTACCATGTTCACAAGAGCCCTCCACTGGTACCTATCCTGAGCCAGATCAATCCAATCCATAACATCCCATCCTATCTCTCTAAGATCCATTTTAATATTGTCCATCCACCTACGCCTTGGTCTTCCCAGTGGTCTCTTTCCTTCTGGCTTTCCCACCAATATTCTATATGTATTCCTCGTTTCCCCCTTTCGTGCTACATGCCCTGCCCACCTCATCCTCTTTGACTTGATTATTCTAATTATACTTGGAAGAGAGTACAAGCTATGAAGCTCCTCACTGTGAAGATTTCTCCAACCTAAGTACTATCCACCTCCCAAGGTTTATATGAGTTTGGTTATTATTAACATTCTTCATGGACTATTAGTTCCTAAACACAAAGCACAAACCTTTACAAACTTCATGATATTTCAAAAGATCAGATACATCCTAGATATTAGACATCTTGAAAATTTAAAGCTGTGATTTATGTCACAGTAATGGGCATCATGAACCAGATATTCAAACCGAATGTTGAAATTGTTATTGTCTGTATGTTGTAATCCCTGATCATTGTGTTAGAACCTTAAATGAGGTTTCATGATGGCTCAACTACTCTGTGCACATCACAGGTATAGAACATGCACTTAGATTCTTTTAGTGAATTTGCTTTCAAAATTTTAAACCTATAGACAAAAATAATTTTAAGTCATGAGCCTAGAGTGATTGACAGTTAAAGAATATAAGAACAGGGAATGTACAAAAATGGGTGACACCCATAAATAAATCAACTTTGCTGAAACAAAGCTAATACTAAAACAGTTTTAGTAAATTTTGTGTAATCTCATTAACCAAAATACTGCTAACCCTCTGAGAGCAAGACAGTGATGGTGCAGGTGACTCCACTCAGGATCATGCACACACAGAGAGGCCAGCGTCGACCCCAGCGATCCATCACTACCCAGCACAACAGGTAGCTTGGGATCTCCACAAGTGAGGACAGGAGGAAGCTCACATACTGGTCACTGCCCAGTGCAGGCCCATAGTAACTCAGTCCCACATACACCATCTCATTAGAAAACCTGCAATGAATTACACATAGTGTTATTAACAGGAAAATAAAACAAGAGTGAAATTATGGAGTGCACATGTTTTGTGTCTGCATACACTGATTTTTTTTTAAGTTTGCTATTTAACGACACTGCCAGTATGGAGACTGTACAGTGTCAAACTCACTGATCTTGAAGGTCCTCTACTGCCCATTTACCGCAGATGCAAAAAATTAGGCTGGTGTTGCATCACCTACTTAAAAACATATTCATACTCACTGAACTATGTGTTCAGGTCTGGAATAATTTCCCACAGTATTCATCATGAAAGAGAGAAAAAAGAAGCATTGTTCACTCAATTATTTGTCTTTCTAATATGAAATTATGTATTTACTGAAAATTAATGTGATCGGCACTATAGGCAGCACATTGTATGGAAACAAATTATTTTCTTCTGCATTTTATTAAATATCAAGGTAAAAGCAAAATTGTCCCTGTGTTTAATTAAGCACCATGGAATGAAGATGTATGGAACAGTGAAGTTATAGCATCATGCATTTATAATTTCAGAACTAGATCGAGGGGAGTGATTAGCTTCATGTCCTGGCTGCTTTACTCCAGGAAAGGAACCATAGTACCCAGGAAATAGGAGATTGAGTTGGAGTCAGTTGATCTGGAAGCTGTAGAGGAATGTCTCTGCCCCTGCCAGAAAGGGAACCTTTTGTTCCTGGTAATTCAACCCATATAAGCTATCCTGGCTACTAAATATTAACCACACTGAAAACTACACATACACGTATACTTCAGAGAGCCTATATATTTCCTGTCACATCACATACTTGTATATATATATTTATGCTTTTTGATAAGACATTTTTGAGAAAATAACTGAGTTCACTTTGAGCTTCACATAAAGCAGGGGTTCATTGCACCAGTTTGAAGAAAAAATTCTTCTGAGAATTTTTCATGTAGACCTTAATTCCAAATTTCACCAAAATTCATTCAGTAATTTTGTCTGACATCATGACATATGGATGTGTTCTCACCATAATAATTTGGATAAAGAACTCATGATAACTGAAACTGTAATATGATGGATTATGACCAATGCAGTGGTGATTTTTCTATGTCTTTGAACATGATCGAGTACAGTGTGGTTATTTCTTTTAAGCTGCCTTTCAGTCTCATGACTATGAATTTAAGGAGTATGGTATACACATAGAATTCATGTTCAGACTTCAAGGGAATGTTTAATTTGAAAACCGTACTAAATAATTTTACACAACACACCAGTTGAGTGTGATAAGCGCTGTTTTGAGACGCATGTTTGGAGTGTAACACAAGGCCATCATGCCAGGGCCTTTCTTCAGTCTTGTCTCCTCACTGAGGGTATGCTGCAGCATCATGTGTTGCTGAAAAGGAACACTGTACTTAAAAAGCAGGAATTGTCTTGTAGCTTCATTAAACACGAATAATGCATAAACCTGAAATTTACTTAAGATGGAACATTGCTATCTGTTGGGCAGATAGAAATACATACAGCTGAGCCATTAGTACCTTATCATACTGGCAGAACTTATTCAAGCAGGATGTGAAACATGAAGTTAGTTGGAACATTGCTGTCTCAAATGAGAAAGGATGAATCTGGACAAAATATTTGCAGGTTATTTGAAGGAAAGGAAGAAAACTAAAAATGTGTACTGCTCAATAATACATAGACATCCATGGAGTATGTATTGTGCAGTATTTTTAGCCTACTTTCTTTATTTTGAAAAACTAAAAGAAATCTTACAAGATCATCTTTCTGTCTGTGTATCTCCCCTAACTCCTGAAAGCCACAATAGTGAAGCCATAAAGACATACAAACATATATATGAAGTGACATGATGCCTGAAAGCTGGAATAGGGCAGTCAGGGAGCACAGAGAGGTTATGTTGATCAGCTATGTATCCCTCCTTACTCAAACATACCCCAAGTTGGTGAGGAACTGTGGTGGCAGAAGCACACATTATTGATTGGGTTGGGGACTGAGGTGGAAGTGAATGTGAAGAGCAGGCCTTCACTACAGTCAGAACCAGCCCATCTGAAAAACAGCTTGTTCTAGTTAAGTTTATCATTCCTCATTCTTGAGAAGCCTTCAGGTTTAGTTCATTCACCTAATGATGTTGACTTACACTTGCTTTGGATGCAGAAACTGAACAGTATAGATTTCAATTTTCTTATTGTCAATGGGATGTGTTGATACTCTGGCCCACCTCTTGGATTGAATTTTATTGCTGTATTAATATGCTGTAATATTTTGTTTGTACAGTTATTTTGTTGGTTGCTGACCTTGGAATTTTACCAGAACTGGTGGTTGGTTTTGTCTGTGCTGCTCTCTTTCTCCCCACAGTAACGATGTTTCATGGATTTCAGGTTTTATTAAACTGGCGTCATTGATTTGGAATCATAATTTTACAATTTATAGGAGATGGTTTCTCTTCTTAACCCCCTAATTTAACCTCCGACATTTATGGTGTATAAACCGTAACTAGATCTCCTGTTGTTTCCAAGGGGTATAGAGAGTGACTGAATCTAGAGGGCCCAACAGAGTAAGTTGCCTGATAATGGAAGCAGATTCAGCTTCTGAAATGTGTTTTCTTTAAAAAAGCCCAACATATTGCTTTTCTTTGTAACTGTGGGAACATCCCACATACTAACACACGGTTTTGCCGGTCTGACAGACAGCACTCACTCCTAGTCACTATCACATTGCCGCACATTGCTGCCACCACTTGTATTTATACAGCACTCACTGTCCAGCCCACCTTTACATCATCGCGTGCACTAACCAATCAGCGCTCACAATCGCAAGTGCAAGTTTCGCCCCGCCCATCAAGCATGGTATAAAAGGCGAAGTCCAAAGCTCGCAATCATCAGTGATCACATTCAGTCATTAGTCATCAGCTCTTCCCTGCGCCAAAAACAGCTGCCCTGCAACTCTCCAGCAACTGCATTCTGCTACCAGACAGCTAACGTAGTTGCTACAACTCTCCAGCAATGGTGCCGTAGGCAGCTGTTCCTACAGGCGCATGCAGCACCACATTACCAGCTGGACAAAGCAGCTGAACGGCTGTAAAGACTTGGTCTACTACAAAGGAGAAAATTCTACCAGCGCACTCAAGGTGGAACAAACTGCCCTTTTCAGGGCCAGCCAACTGTTGACATTCCACATAGCTTTGCAGTTATTCTGTACATTCAATTTATAGAATTTAATAAATACAATTGTTACAGATTTACGTGGTTGTCTTTTAGAACATCGACAATCCCACATAGCTTATTGTACCACACTGTCTGTATCCTGTGTGTATAGTGTCAAATGCTAGTATGAGTGGTGAATAATGAATTGGAAAGGGCTTGGAAGAAAGTGGTTGTGGCCTCATCAAGGTATTATCTCAGCATTTGCCTGGAGGGACTGAGAAAAAACCACAATAAACCTCAGTCAGGATAGTAGCTGTCCAAACTGAGGTTCACACTGAGTATCTCCCAGTAACATGTACACACTATTACTGCTGTACTAACCTGCTCAGTATGGGTCAATTTAATGATAATTCATCTTCCTATGTAGCAAATTGTATTTATTTCTTTAAAATTAATGTTGCCAAATATAACTGAGTTGCCATAAAGAAGTATATTCCACATATTTCACTTGTACTTGTGACTACAAATACGAGTATAATATTTTTCTACATCTGGGACCATGTAATTATGCAATTAATTTCAAACCCTGTAAGTGCTCGCATTTTACAGTCATATTTAAAACAACTGTGTTGGAAATTAAGTACCTTGAGCCTGAGTTTGAAGCTTGATGGTAGCTCTTTTCCATTTATTCTTGCCAAGGTTTCAAGGATTTGTGAGCCTTCTTCAAAGCGGCCCTTAGCAAGCAACCATCTCGGAGATTCTGGAAGGAACCTGCAATTATATTAAAGTAATGCTGTATAGTGATGTCTTTTAATATGTGACATTTTACCATGGTTCATTCAACATTTAAGAACATGCAGTCATAGTGAAAGATATTTATAATTTCTTCTTTCAGAAAAATATTTAAATCTGCTTTAATGACACTTTTTGGATNCCATTTAATAATATGAAATATTTCACATATTGTGTGTAAATCCCTTTTTGGATTATCAGAGCCATGTTCACTAAACATAGCAATGACTCCATTGTTGTTTGGCATCCTGTCTCAAAACACACAGCTAGTCCATGCTCCCAGATATTGTAACCATTGTTACTTCTTTCTGTATCATCATGATAAAGTAAATGTGTGTTGACAAAGTGGCTAATGCTGATTTTATAAAGTACAAGCTGTCTTGTGATTAAAATCACAGTTCCGTAATATGCAGAAATGCTGTTTACATACAGCAAGATCCATTCTTAACATCAGAGAGACTACAGCAGAAAACAACACGATGAAGTGACACTGGGATGCAAGAAGTCTTGACAATCAAGAGTTAAGAATCAGATATCATTTTTCTTCTAAAAACCTCCAAAATTTTGAACGATGTACTCAATTTACTGATGATTTATGGTCAACTGAACTACACACTGAAGAATCAAACCAATACTTAACTTTAAAATACTTTAATCTTTTTCTTATCACTGAAATCCCTTTATGCCAGAGCTGGTGTTCATGCCATTATTTTGTTATCAAAACCTCATTTGCGACAACAGAAGTACAGCCATAAATGTAAGATTTGCATTTAGACAGGACAGCTTTCAAGAGACGTACTACACCTCTTACATCTAAAAAATAAATAAATAAAATAAGAATATTAATAAAAATGAATAACAGTTCCAATGAAAAAGAACACCCAGAGAGGATACATTACAATTTAACTCCTTCCACGATGCAAACACATGGTCTTACTATGACTTTATGTCAAGAGAACAAGATTCTTTCCTAAGCTCTAATGAAATTCTAGATTTGTATATGATCTAATGGAACTTGCAAATTGAAAGATAAAGAGTTGTTTTATATGAAGATGAACTTGTTTTGATTGTTTTAATCACTTTCATCACTACTAATCAAAAAATAGGTCATAAATCCTAGAAAAATTAGTCTGACAGCCTGAATGTAGGATTTAAATGCCACATTGCACTGAAAGGGTTAAGTAGTGGAGATACAATTTTGTCCTTAACTGTCATTCAACTCACCACCAGTATATAAAGTATAGAAGAAAGGGAGCAGAAGTAACAAGTGTGAGGACAGTCCAGTCCTGCACCATGTAGGTCACTCCAGTCAATAAGATGAGACCTACTGAGTAGGACAGACAGGTCATGACTGTCACAAACGAACGATAGCTAGGGCCCACAAGCTCCAGTGCTGCAAAAATGAAATTTACAGGTTACTCTATTCTAGGATTGATGTTCTCACAGCAGTGGTTATGAGTCCTATCTTCTGGGATATAATGCCTTGCAGCAGTGGCGTGCCTTGCATGGAAGCAAGGGAGGCATTGCTTCCGTAGTTAAGAAACGAAAAGAAAAGAAGTCATATACAAATAATTCAATTTGAATAAAACGGATTTGAATATTGTCATTTAGCACGCATTCCTGCTCAAGGCCACATGCATCCTCCTCCTCCCTTCCCTTGCTTGGTGGGATGGACCAAGTTTCCTTCATTAATCTTCGTAAGAATTCGTCGCACACGAAGTGGGCAGGGAAGCAATTTTCGGTTTGCTGGCTAATGCCTGTGATATGGAAGCGAAGGCCTGTGTTCTTTCAAGGGTTATGTGAAAATTAACTGTTTATGTGTGATTTCAGTCTTGTTGGGTGTTATAGGTAACATTAAGTTTTATTAAGATATTGTAAGTGTATATTTAGATGGCGTAAGATTGTATTTGTGATCGTATTTTGACGCATCAGAAAGAAGCTATCTGCGTTTAAGGGAAGCAAATCTGTTACTGCGGTACAAGAGCAGGGGCATGATCAGACTACACGCACAGGCAGCAGCTAAAACAAATGCTGGCAGACAACGCGACTGCGACTGTGCAATCGAAAGCCTTTTAAAACGGGGGTTTAATAGCAGGGACTTTTCTGAAAAGAAAATAATTATAGAAAGAGGACGACCGACATGAGAGGTGCCAGAACTTAAAGCACAAACCAAATTATGTGTGAGGAAATTTAATTTGGAAGAGTATTGTAAAACAGAGTGGCTATCCGGGTGCCGTAATATAGGAAAATTGTTTTGTTGGCCATGCTCATTGTTTCTCATGGAAAAAACTGTATGGAACAAGACTGGGTTTGGTGATATCAACAACCTTTATATAGCACTGAAACGACATGAGAACTCTCAGACTCACATTATTTCAACAATGCAACTTGTTATGATCGGGAAATCTCGAATTGACTGTCAACCTGACAATCAAAAACGCCTGACGATACTACATAGAGAAATAATGAAACGCTTGATTGATATCATCTGCCATTTATGAAAGTGGCAACTTGGCCTCCATGGTCATGATGAAAGCATGGATTCTATCGACCGAGGTAATTATGAGGAATTAGTTCACCTTGAGAACAATACAGTATTTACAGGTTTATCGAACAGAATACAAAACGACCATATTGACTCAATAAGTGACGTACATTTTGGTGAGTTGATTGCTATCAGTTCGTTTACTAGATATCACTGCTTCCCTTACTAAAAATAGTACCGCACGCCACTGCCTTGCAGTCCTTTGAAAGCCAACTGATGTATCGGAGGAACGTGCCACCTCTATCTTCAGGGTCGAAGAATAAGCCAAACAAGTAACTAACGCCATCCCTTCTCCTTCTTGTCATTATTGCCCGTTGTTGCCCGTTGCTCCGGCCGCCCTTCTCCTCCTCGTAGTTGCCTCGGCTTTCTCTTGGTTACCGCTCCGTCCACCTTACCCTTTTCTTGTTATCTGGGTTAGGAAGCTATTAGGTTGGATTTGGTATTATGGTATGCAAGGATCTTTTCTCAGGTCAATGACAGGTCTATCTCTGAAGACACTTCAATGCAACAAAACCTTGGCTACACCACCTAGGTTTAATTTACTTATTATTCCTTTCTTGTCACAAACACTGATATATCGTTTTTAATTGTACATTTCTCACTATTGGCTGTATTAGCACTGACACAGTGCCGCCTATACTGGCGATTCTATACAGACAAAAACTAGCTAGTGCCTCCACTCTCGGGGAGTGCCTCTTTGTTAGTCTTTTTACTGGCTTGGCGTCGCTCTGAGAGCCTTCTCAGAACCACACCCTACATGACATCATTCCCCACTCCAGCTACAAAACTGCACATACGAAATAATGCAGTACTATTGTCACGTAGGCACCTCCCCTCCAAAACCTCACACATTCAAGTCCACTGGTGATCGGTTACAAACTCCCAAATATATTTTTGCATTATTTGGGCAAACCATAAATGTGTAAAAATTTATTTAGTTGCCTGGAAACCTTTAACCAATTTAATTTATTACTAACAAGTCTTTATATCTCCTCACTAGCTCGTATAATTGTATAATTTTAAACAAATTTATATTCTCTTTGTCCACTTCTTTACATGGGTTTCTCAAAATTTCACTATGTATTCATACTATATCATTTCCTTTCTTTATGGATTTCCCGTAGTGCTGTGCCAGTATTTTAACATACATTCATATATTTACTTATATTTAGATTATTATTCTATAACATAGTCAAACTTAAGTTTTCTATTGTTAAGCATAACAAAGCTTTAATTACAATATTCCTATACTTCCTGGTAAATATTGTCTATCATTGTCCTTGATTGCAAATGTTAATTTTCCTTTTGATGTTTCACTCATTGTCTTCTTCTTGTAGCACTTTCACTTATTCTCCTTTCCCTTTAAATTTCACTGAAAAATCATTTATGATGCTGCACTGTTGTCTTTACAACCACTTTGTTTACAAGTTTCATCTTATACATATGCCCATTTCCATGTTAATTTTCTTCCATAATTTAAATCCCAACTTTACATTAGTGTATAGTACCTCATATCTAATTTATCCTTAAACTATGTAGGGCTTCAGATGGGTAATATGAAAAAGTCCTTTGACCTCCCCTGACTCATTCTGTAACTCATATAACCCAGAGCTTATTGTTTCCCTTATTAGGAATGGACCCTCGTATATCCGCTGAAAATTGGTTTACTTTTCGTGCATCCACGCAAACACGGGGTTTTTTTTCTTCTTCTCTAGGTACTATTGTCAATGGATTCAAAATGTCAGAGTGACTTAATTCGAAAATATCATCCTTGATCATATCTTGTATTTGTGCTTTAATAACTGGTCTAAACGCAAAGGGAACTGGTCGAGAATACGAGCGTAACGGCTGATCTGCCTTCACCTGGAATTTATACTTCAATAAGCAGCATTTGCCTGGTCGTGTAGTAAAACTAGGCAAATACTTATTTAATGTTTCAAATAATTGCAATTTCTGCTCCAAATTTATTTCTGAACTTCGGTCTATTATCTGGACCAACTCTTCGCTTTGGATATCCCTGCGGTCCGCACATCTCGTGTTACTGGGTTCTCGAACGCGATTGCAGTCTGCAGCGCTAAAGGTTACGTCATCTTCTTCCGCCAATACTCCACTGCGCCCCTGATCCACGCACGCTGCCTCGATTTTCTCAAACTGATTTCGTACAGCCTCTGTCAAAACCAAGTTACTCCCGCGATCTTCTTCCGTTAATACATTGCTTGTAGAACTCATTTCCTTGGGATGAACAAATTTTTTCTGACTTTCTTCAGTTGCTTGAAATTGGACACTCTTAGTTTGTCCTTGACGAACATATTCCAACTTTCCTAAGTCGAAACATAGTTGAATGCCGTATTCTTTCAAAAAACTACAACCCAAAATAACATCACAATTCAATTGTGGGACCACCAAAAACACTGCTTCAAATGTCTCTTCCTCAATGTTGAATTCCATTAACATTTGTAACTTAATTCCCTTTGACCGTTTGCCAAATGCAGTTACTAAGTTTATTCCTTGGACAGGCAAAGTCAACACTTCAATCCCAGCCTTACTCAACTTGTCAAATTTATCTTGGGATATTAAATTCACTTCACTCCCAGAATCCAACAATGCAATTGCAACTTCTTTGTCTTCAAACTTGATTGTAATTTGTGGACTTTTGCTTAAATCTTCCTCATTAATAAACAGTACTATTTGGTCACAATCAAATTTCCCTTGATCAATTTCTTTAGACAATGTTAAAGTTTCTGATGGACCTAAACTTGTAACTTTCTGAAATATGGAAGCGATTCGGTCCTCAAGGCTTCCTGCACTTAGTTTTCCTCAGTTCCTCTAGGCCTTTCCTCTCGGTAATTTCTTTCTTGATCCCCACTCCTGCCCCAGATGTTATTTCTGCTTTCTTCAGGTCTGCTTCTTTCTTCACGAGAGTCCCGCCCCCTATAGCTCGTCTGGTCTCTATTACTTCTCCAAATTTCCCTTTCATTTGGAACATATCTTTGTACTTGCCGCACCTGTCCTGGCCCTCCGAACCTGGAGTCCCCATTTCGATTCGACGGGTTATTTTGCTGAGGACGGCTATTTCTCTGACTATGATCACATACTGACGTCCGTTCTTCCATCAACTCAAGTCTCTTTAAGACTTCCAAAACTTCTGCAACTTTGTTTAATTTGGTGCTCACCAATATTTTTTGTATTTCTTGGGGGTAATGACAGCGCAATGCTTCAATAATCTCGTTATCAGTTAGCTTAGGTTCTAAGTATGATGCCATGGTTGCATACTTCAAAAAGTGGGCTGACAAGGATAATCCGGCCGCCTTATCGTATTAACTTGGGTACAGCCTGCATTTTACCAACCCCTGTTGTGCAGCTGACCACCACGTAGATAAGAATTCAGACTTGAATTGTTCGTAGCTTGCAAACGTCATGCTGGTAGCTTCGAGCCACTGTTTTGATACTGAGCCTACTATAGATCTCTTTGCTACAATTAGCCACAGTTGTTGCTGTATCCCTCGAAATTCGAAAAATTCCTCCAATTGTCTAATATGTGAAACTGGGTTCACGCCCTTGTCTTCATCAAATAATGGTAATGCAAACTCCGTACTTCCTAAATTTCCTGTTGCCTTCACAGACTCCAAATTACTACTTCCTTTGTTTACATCTCCTCTCGCGTTTACTGTTCTGCCATCAGTCACAACGCCAGTCCTATCAACTGGGATTCGCATCTGGTTGCTTACCTTTAGTTTTAATTGAACCATTTCTTGTTCTAAACTTTTAAGTCCACTTTGTAGTTTTAACTGGTCAACATTAATCTTTTGTTCCAATCTACTTTCTTGCTCCCTCAGTTGCCTGGAAACATTACTGGTGCTACTTTCCAGTTCCTTTTGAATCATGTCTATTGCTACTTTAACTGTCATGATTTCCCTGGTAGTCTCGACTTTGTTGTTTTCTACTATTCCCTGAATTTCCTTGACCTTCTGCTTTATTTGGACATTTTCGGTTTCCTGGTGAATGACTAACTGTTCCAACTTAGCATCCTGTTCTTTCCTTTCCTTTTCAAACTGTTGCTTTACTCCTATCATTTCTCGTTCTAACTTGCCTTGCCATTTCGTAACTTCTTGTTTTACTTGGTTAATTTCAGCAGTAACCTTCCCAATCTCAGCAGCTAAATTTTTGGACAATTCTTTGTTTAATTGTTCTTTTGACCTTTGACATTCTAAAACTATTCTTTCCTCAGACTGCTTTACCTCTGTCCTAGTTCTTTCTTCCGCTTGCTTTGCTTCTGCCCTTTGTTGTTCTAGTTGCTGGAACAACTGCTGCATCATACTCATCATGGTTTGCAAGTCTGAACTGCTAACCTTTTCCCCCTGACCATTACTTCTTTCTGGGCTTGACCTTTCTGTTTCTAACATATCTGAATTGAGGATTTCTTTACTTCCTATTCTTTCATCACTATCTTCACTAACATCTCCTAACCTCCCCCCTTCTATTTCTAATGCTGGCGTTAATTCTATTGCCTCTGGAGATTTTTCCCTAGATCCTAAGTCCATTTCCTCGGACATCGTATCCACTGTTCTACTCCGCAATGCACGTTGTGACATTATTACCATTGTTCACTACTCACAGTTCTCTTGAGTTTTACCACCTCCAGTGTTTGTTGAGTGTTGTCGTGAAGAAGTGCCAACGTTGATTAGAACTCGTGCCCCGCATTGGTCGCCACCTCTAACGCCGTCCCTTCTCTTTCTTGTCGTTGTAGCCCGTTGTTGCCCGTTGCTCCGGCCGCTCTTCTCCTCCTCGTAGTTGCCTCGGCTTTCTCTTGGTTACCGCTCCGTCCACCTTACCCTTTTCTTGTTATCTGGGTTAGGAAGCTATTAGGTTGGATTTGGTATTATGGTATGCATGGATCTTTTCTCAGGTCGATGACAGGTCTATCTCTGGAGACACTTCAATGCAACAAAACCTTGGCTACACCACCTAGGTTTAATTTACTTATTATTCCTTTCTTGTCACAAACACAGATATATCGTTTTTAATTGTACATTTCTCACTATTGGCTGTATTAGCACTGACACAGTGCCGCCTATACTGACGATTCTATACAGACAAAAACTAGCTAGTGCCTCCACTCTCGGGGAGTGCCTCTTTGTTAGTCTTTTCACTGGCTTGGCGTCGCTCTGAGAGCCTTCTCAGAACCACACCCTACATGACATCATTCCCCACTCCAGCTACAAAACTGCACATACGAAATAATGCAGTACTATTGTCACGTAGGCACCTCCCCTCCAAAACCTCACACATTCAAGTCCACTGGTGATCGGTTACATAACCAGCATGAAGCAGGAAGCATTGCATCCTTGCTTTGCTTATTCTTCAACCCTGAAGAAGGAGGCATCTTATTAATATCAGTTGACTTTCAATGGACTGTAAAATTATATCTCAAAAGAGAGAAATCTCCAAGTTACTGTATTATCCAGTGAATCTTCAGTTCGTTTCAGCATTCACAAAAGCATAAATTTCACTTACAAATGATGAATGGAATCTGATAGATTGCAGGCACTGTGAGACCGGCAATGAACCTGAACACCGCCCATGACCAAAAATCTGGAGCAGCTGCTGACAGCAAGTTTCCAGTTATCAGGACAGCCAAACATGTGAAGAAAGACAGGCGGCGCCCAAACCTAAATATATGAGTTTTAGTTTCATCCATGTCTGTCTTATGTGTAATGTGTAATACGTACAATTACAGTATGTATTATTCACCATGTTCCTGTATTGAACGAAATATATCAATTAATATTAAGGCACTGTAGATATTGCAACCTTGAAATGCACCTACATAAAGTACAACCAACTGCATGCAACAAGAGTGCTGCCTTCTGGGGTGTACTGGACTACATGGTATCACATCCCAGGTGGACTCCTACTGGACTACACAAGATACATTGTAAAACATAACTCTTCATATAGTCACCATTGTAAGAACCTCCAACTTTGAATTAAATATCCACTAATCATGTAGAGGAAATGCTGAAGAATTATATTTAGAAATGACCAAAAAACCATGCTGATTGACTTACATAAAAATACATAAATTACACTGATTATTAGGTCATTACTTCCATAAGTGGAAGAAGGACAAAAATGCAGGTATCAACTGGATGAAAGGCTATATGAAGAGACATCAACAACTGCCGTTAAGAAAGGAAGGGAACACAAGCCTCTGTTGTGCACCCAGTTTCACAGTAACTATTCTCAGTGATACTTCTGTATAAATTTACCTGACTTCATATTTAACATGACTGACACAGAACTGTCTAAGGTAGCATTTATTTGGCTTGCTTAGTTGGTCTGAAAAATATGTATCCCATCTGGTTGCCTCTCAATTTGTATTCCTAAATAAACTTTTGGAATTGTGGTTTTTGTTATCTGGAACTGATTTTCCAGTTTCAGCAAAATTTCCTCTATTTGTCTTTCATCCTCTCCCATGTTTATCCCGTCATCCACATGAATAGTCATGAAGAAATTATTGGCATCATTCTTAAAACTGCATTGGTCAGATTTTAGTTGGTTTAGACCTTTTTCTTTTAGAAAGGTTGTCAACTTCTTGTTCCATTGCAATGGTGCTTGTCTTAGGCCATATAATGCCTTTTTCAGGAGACATATCTTGCCAGTGTTCTTGTATCCTTCTGGTATCTCCATGTAGTTTTTCATCTCAAGGTCTCCATACAGGAAGGCAGTCTTCACATCAAAGGTTTGCATGTTCATATTCTTATGTGCTGCTATGGCAAACAGTACTCTAAGAAAATTCATGTCAACAATTGGGCTAAAGGTATCCTTGAAATCTATTTCCCCTTCCTTTTGTTGGTATCCTCTCACAACCAGTCTGGCTTTGTGTCTTCCATCATCCTTTATTTTGAAAACCCATTTACTGGTCAGAATTTTCTTGCCCATTGCTTTCTGTTTACATATATCCAAGTTTTGTTTTGGCAGAGCGAATCCTTTTCCTCTTTAATGGCTTTCTTCCACTTCTCACTGTCTTCCCTCTCCATGCACTCGTCATATGTATAGGTGAGCATACCCTCCTTTTGACTCTCTGTGTGATAGTCTCGGTACTTTGGGTGCATTTGAATGTTTCTTCTTGGTCTCAATGCATATCCATGTTCATTTTGTCCATTGTTTTTCCTTCCATTATCCTTGTGGTCAGCATTTTCATTTTCTTCATCCTCTTCAGTATTTGTTGGTTCTTCTTCATTGTTGTCAGCGTCAGGTTCTTGCTGCATTTCGCTGTCTTCCTGATCTGGAGTATCTGGCTTGTCTTCTGGATCCGCCACTCTTTCTATTTCCTTTTGTTTATTTGTTGTCATAGGTTTACTTGTGAATGTCACGTCTCTGGAGACATAGGTCCTTCTGTATTTGGATCCCATATTCTGTAGCCATTTGTGTTGTATCCAATGAACATTCCTTTCTTGCTACGACTGTCCAACTTTCTCAATGGTCTGAGAATTTTAGTGTATACTTCTGAACCAAAAATCTTCAATCCAGCCAGATCTGATCTTTTACCATACCAATTTTCTGCTGGCATTCCATTCACTGTCACTGTTGGACTTCTGTTTAGCAGGTATGCAGAAGTGAGTACAGCTTCACCCAACATTCTCTTACTTGAACCTGAGTCAAAAATCAATGCTCTTGCCTTTTCCACAATGGTACGGTTCATCCTTTCAGCAGTGCCATTTAGCTGTGGCGAATATGGTGTAGTAAATTCCATTATAATCCCCCTGTTCTTACACCATTCTCTCAAGGCGTTGTTCTTATATTCCCCTCCATTGTCGCATCTTATTCTTCTCACTCTTGCATTGAAGTGACACTCAGCTTCATTTACATATTCCTTCAAAAAGGTATACAATTCACTCTTATTTTCTAACAGGTATATCTTACAAAAATGTGCATAATCATCCGCACACGTAAGGAAATATTTCTTATTGTCACAAGTGGTGGGATCAATTGGTCCACACATGTCACTATGAATTATCTCTAATGGCTTTCCAGCCCTACTTCTTTCTGCATCAAATGGGAGTCTCACTTGTTTGGCCTGCATACAAACTGAACATATATCAAAATGTTTACACTTGCACACACTTTCTGGTATCCCTTGGCATATCTCTTGTAGTTTCCTAAGATTCACATAACTTATGTGACCTAGCTTTCTATGCCACTCTACACTTATATCTTGCTGAGTCATCATAGCTTCATTCCTCAGAATCCATTTTCATCCTTTTTTCCTTCGATTACAACATTTTTGTCCTTGAGTATCTGGACTTTCTCTTTCGTAAACAACACTTCTCCATCATTTTCTGTAATACAGTGCACTGACAGCAGATTTTTGCTGAGTTCTGGAACATATGAAACGTTTTCCAAACTACACTCTTTAAATTCCAAATTGCCTGTTCTTTTGCAGTCATACTTTGATTTTTCTTTGCTACCTTTATACACTGAGTATACTGCTTAGTATACATCAAATCAGTCTTCACATTTGTCATATGACATGTGCTACCACTATCCACTACATACATTTTGTCTTTTTTACTTGTATCACTCATGTAGGTTTCTGCTGTTTCACCTAGAAAACTGACCTTGCTTCTTTTATTCCTATCTTTAAAATAACAGTTCTTTTCAGCATGGTTCATTTTCTTACATACTGTACACTGTTTTCTCGTATCACTGTCCTTATTTTTTAAAGTAACAGTCCTTTTCAGAGTGATTATTCCTTTTAAAGATAGAGCAATTTCTCTTACCTTTGTTGGGGCAGTTGATCTGGGCATGACCTATTTGATTACAATTGAAACACTTGAAAGGGGTTTTACTTTCGGTTTTAGTTACTGTCTTAAAAGCTATGCTTTCCTCTTCTTTAGTCGTCATCTTGCACTTCACTTCTTCAACATCAATCTGGCCACCAGGTTGTCAAGGGTTCTGTCCACGGTCATCGTTGAGTCCCAGGCAGTGCTGAAGTGTTTGTAGTCTTCTGGTAGAATCATTGTTATTTTTGTCATGATCATATTTTCATCAACGTTTTGGTTCAGTTGACGAAGCTTGAAGGCAATGTTCTGCACATGACTTATATTTGTCATCATATCCTTAGTTTTGTCATACTTGAAGTTGTAGAAGTCTTGTAGCAGAAGGCACTTCTGTTGAGAGGTGTCGCTGATAGATTTGCTTCAAGGTGTTGTACATTTCTTTCGTGGTTGTGCATGTCACAATGTGGGTCTTCACATGTTTCTCTATTGTTCTCACTATGTAGTATTGGCACTTTGCATCTCACATCTTCCATTTCCTTATATTTTCTTCGTCTCTTCCTTGGTCACTTAACAGGTAGCTGCCATCAACGATGTTTTTCAGTTCTTTTGCACGCACCAGATTCTTGATTTCAAAATCCCACAGTTGGGGTCCTTCAGTTTTGGCAGATGAGTTACCTCTTCTGTCTCTGTGGTTGCCATTTTTTCATTATTCTTCTTCTGTCTTCTCCTTTTTTTTCATCTTTTTTTTAGTTTTTGAGCAAATCTGGGCCCATAACCTGTTGATTTTCTTTGTGTTGTGCTTACATATCACTTAATAGCCATATTGGATGAGAAGAAACTTTTTATTTTAATACAAAACAAAAACAAAAGCAAATTAATATAGATCACTATTACCAACTTGAACATTTTTACATTACCAGATTCTCAACATTCATCACATTCATATAGGTTTTGTTTGTAAGAGATTGAATGATTACGTTAATTTCCTTTGAAGTTGTTGGGATACAATTTAGCATAGCAATACGTTTCCTGAAGAATGATTTTCCAATATGAAATAGTATAAAATGAAGGCTCAGCCATAAACATATATCATTTCATTTAAACACAACAAACCACACTGTTCCATTCATGGTCATTGTGTTTAAATTATAGTGTGGGTCATGACATTTTACTCTATACATCAAAACTTTATTTTGACAGATGTCAGTGTTTCTTAACATGAAATTGACAGAAGCCAGAAATTTGTTTAAAATTAAACTGAGTGAAAATGTATAAATGACAAATGGCATATTCACTTACCTGTCATTAAGTACACCAAAGAGATACACTCCAATTGGTCCTCCAGCATTGAGAGCAGCCAATCCTATTGTTGGGTAAATGGCATGGTTACAAACAAGACTGAACTAGAAAGGAAGGGAAATTGACCTAATCAGAAATCAGATATAAACAACATGCACATTGCAGTGGTGGCCTAAGAGGTTAGGAATAAAACACTGGATTTATTTACCAAATGCCTCAAGATCAAAACTGGCCAAACTAAATGCAAACTTCTTTTCATCTTTCCCTATATTCATTTTTGAAAGTGAGGAATTAAGCTGAGCTTATGCTCACCGACAATTATTGGGGTAGTACTTTACAGAGGGCTGTGAATTACAGCTTAACACAGGCAGAAAATTATGATGGAGGCCTGCAATTTCTCACATATCATTTGGTGCTATATAACTTCTGCAATTAAAAGAGCATCATTAAATAATCGATGAGTCAGTAACGTTATGGGTAGAATAAGTGATTTTGGAGTATACATACCACAGTGTGTTTCATGTAGAACAACATGGCTAAATGTCTGAATACTCACATCAATAACAATAGAAGATCTAACTTGAGTAGTGTTGTACTCCCAGCCTGCCCGACATGGCTCAGTCGGCCAGCTGTTGTTGGGAGTGATCTCCATGAATGTATGTGTTTGCAGCAGTGCTGTCCAGTTCACCGCATAGCGTGAACACTGGCTGAATGTCGAGTTTGACTCTCCCTGTAACATACAAAACATGTGCATCAGAAACATACAGTGGCAAGAACGTAGTTGAATGATAATATACCAGGCCTGTAATTCGTGTGTTTCTTTTCTCAAAATTTCTCAGTAATATGAAGGGAGAATGACTTTGCTTAATCAACACAGATATTAACTAGATGTTTTGGGAAGAACATAAATGACATACTTTCCTTCAAATGCTCCAATCCAGATGGTGAGAACAGCTAGAGCTATCTATAACTTCAATACGATTTCTGTTAGCACAGACCCAGGCAATGTGTTAAATTTGCCTGCTATTCCAGACAACCTAAAATCTCCACACCATTACTGTATTTGTAACCGTGGCACAAAAAAGAATGTCTTATTCTGATTTTATGAAATCTATGATCAATCTCCATACACAATTTTGAATTCCTATCTTTCATTAGTTCTAATCATAAAAATGCATACCTTCGTCTGGCCATCCCAATATCATCTTACTTTCTACAAATAAATTACCATAATGAAATCTGAACATTTTTGAAGACTTAATTCCATAAATAATTTGAACATTCAACATTAATTGGCGTTATTATTGCTCTGACATGAAAAGTTCACATTATATGTATATCAATAGTATCAATTACAGGATGACAAAAAGTATTAATGTGGGATGGGTTCTAGTATATCCATATTTGTTACCAAATTTCATACAAATCCATCAGTTGATTCAAAAGTTATTAGAGGAAGAACTGATACACGAATATCTTATCTTATAAAATATTGAATGTACGCCAAAAATTAAATTTCGGTTTTCATGTATGAAAGTTTTGTCCATCCAGCACTAGTGTAATTCTTTTATTTTGTGTAAATGAAACACGGCACAATACACTTTTGTGAGAAACACATTCATGGGGGAAAATTAAATACAATTTAGAACATAAGATCAACGTATGTCCGTGATAAGGACCAAACCATGGATGGGCATATGGGGCGTGGATATAATGCTCCACGCATTCTAAACTCGGCTCTTTTTGGAGATCACTATCATGCTTCGCTCTCAACCGCTTTACCCCTCAGGAAAAATCCGCGATATACGAAAGATAGGAATCGAAAGGGAGGTGTGTGGGTTCGAGAAACGGCATGTGAGCGGGGGGAACCCGCACATCAGCTTAAAATAGAACCTCGTCTGTCCAGCCAGGGCGGTACATGGTTTAGTCACATAACACAATGACATATGTATTTCACGCTAACACATTATTATCTGTCATACAGATTTAATGAATGTTACGTCTCGTAATCCGCGAGATCGTCATGCTGGCCCTACTTTTAGAAGAAGAGGAATGTAGTTACCAACGGATCTGAAACACATGATCGTACTAAATTTCGTTATGTTCCAACAAATCGCGAAGAATGCATATTGAGTTCATCGGTTGTCCTAAAATGTGAACGTGTTTTCCAGGAACTGGAGCAGACATACCATATTTACGCATGTACAGGCCGCGTACGTGTATAGGCCGCAGCACAATTTTCAGACAGAAATTATAGAAAAAATAATTTTCTTGGAATATTATTTCAGGAGTACAACACCCTGTATTACTAATTATGAATATAATTTTTTTTTTAAATGAAGTGTGATTTCGAATATTTCGAATATAAGCCGCACCCCAGTTTTCCTCTTGAATTTTTGGCAAAAAATGTGCGGCCTATACATGCGTAAATACGGTATTTCCACTAACGGCTCTTCGGTATTCTGTACACCTCATTGGCCTTAACATGTATCACTGGGCAAATATAAATATTACATTGTTGCAAAGTCAACCACACTACAGCTACCGCACAGAATGGAATAACATGTCCTCGTATTTCACGATACATTCATCAAATCGAAAATATTTAAACTAAAAGCTGATTAGGGCAATTTTACGTTACGTTATGCTTGCACAATGAGTGGTTTGGAGAAAGCGATAAGTACATGTGAGCTGCATGTAAAGTAAGGGTTGCACTGGACTGACCCCGACCAAAATTAATTTTAACCCACAACTTCCCTTCACGATTTTGACAAAAATTATTGTCAACTAGTTTCGCAGATGAAACTAGCGGACATATATGCCCCCATTATGAATTCATTTTATCGAAATAACGCATGAAAACGGGCTAAAAAGAATTTGCGATCACTTACGTGACAATATGAATATGGGAATGATGGTCATTGTGAACGAAAGGAGCCCTGAACGACGTGAAGGACAATGTCGAAGGCTTCCAGTTCCTAGCTGTAATCGATATCTTCAAGTATTTTCTCCAAGTATCCACAGCTGCGATTCTCCCATGAGGCCATCCAATGAAAGCAGCCATACTATCGTACTGACTGGGTGACAAAATAATCTTATTATCTGACTCACCAGGCTTCATTCTCATAGGGAACACGGCCCAAATAACTGCAAAACGCATATACTATTGTAACCGTCCTTTGGTTCTGCTAGCTCTAGTAGAGAAATCGAACTCCTCTCAGGGCGTGTTGACTGGCCACGACTTGGGTGATTAGTGGGGCTTTAGGCGTAGGGAAGTCACCTCAACACCAATTAACTGTTTGAAGTCTTTATTCAATCTGCACTATTTAAATGGAAACAGCACCGTAGTGACACACTTCACAGATTTGGGGATGTAGGCTTCCTTACTGTTTACTGAGACGCACACATAATAGTCACCACAGGGGGTGTTTAAGGGGATCGGAACACGTGTACCCCCGATGAAGGTAAATTTCAGAGTCCTCCTAGCCAAGCACCCTCTGAATGGTAAATATTTGCCCTGGTTAACCAAAATTCGGGCAAAGGACCTCCCACTTCAGATGATGATTGGCTGGACCGGGCAGACTGGGAGGTTGCTTATCTTTCTCCTCCAATTAGGAAAGCGAATATCCGCTAGTGTACAGTTTAGGGTGAACTTTGCCACCTGCTGCGTGGCTGCCAAACTGAGATTTTGGGGTAGCAGGAAACGACGCTGCTAAAATTATGACTTTCCCTGTCAAGTTTAGAATTTCTAAAAAAACTCGGCCTTGTTTTACTCATTAAATTGACTGATTTACGGATGGGCAGCTGGCTTCAAGCTTGACCCGAGCCACTTGCTGCGTGTCTCAGGGGAAATATTTCAAATTGTGTGGCGAAAGTGAGGAATTTCACAAAACCCTAACCATACACAAACATCAATTGACCATCCCATAAACTGGATAGTTACACTATGGTCATACACATCGTATTTTGGTTGAGAAATTGTAATGAATAATGGCCGCTACACTTTGCGCTGTTCACGTTAACACCCGTAAACGTTTCCATAATCGCTTTATGTACATAAACTTCCTCCTGTTATCAGGCCTGTACGTTCATCGTAGCGTGTATAACATCCACACTACGCTCTGTGCCAAACGCGCTTAGCAATTTCAATTACGGTTTTTGGGCAAATAAATGACTTTATGTTAATGTAATGGGGGGATGCGGTAGCGTAGTTTGTTGAGGCACTATGCTACAAGACGGAAGATCACGGGATCAAATCGCGATGAGGTCACTGGATTTTTTAATTGACCTAATCCTTTCAGCCGCACTATGGCCCTGGGGTCGACTCAGCCTCTAACAGAAATGAGTACCAGGAATTTTTGTTGAACCGCCGAACCGATTGGAATTAAATTCAATATTGCTTCAACTAAAATTTGTCGTTATATTCCAGTTCGGGTTAAAATCAGGCAACATTCAGGAACACTTTATATGAAAACATACATGCATCACTAGGCGCATACTCACGCGAACTCCCTAATATTTGTTGGAACAAAAGTTGTTGAGAAAGATGAACGTGCATTATATGTTCGATACACTTTGTTCGAAAATCTGATGATTTTCGAATAAGTAACCAAGAGGGATTTTATGCTGTTACAAGTCGAGAAATCAAGCGGCAGTAACAGCGAGCACAACAGAGTACATTCCGTAACTTGCAAAGGAAGTTCCTTGCTACGTGGATTTATGTCTACAAGTATATAAATATACATTTAATTTATAACTGATTATGCTCATACCAGCCTACTTTTGTATTTCAACCTTCTCCCCTTTTCACTGTTTCTCTTTGGGTATTCGCAACGATTAGTTGCATAAAGGAGCCGGCATAGCAGTCCCTCGCCAACAGGGAGAAGACCTGTTATGTTCCTGAATGAAGAAGACCGTGGCTGAAACGACCAGCACCGCGTGAGACATCTGTGTTAGAGTAATCTGGGCCCAAGTTGCCTATTACCTGCAGCCCTTTATTGGGTACTGGCCACTTTTTCAGTTTCTTAAACCTATACCCAGTCGGTAGGATTCTTTGGACGGGGATCAGCCCGTCGCAAGGCCGCTACCTATACGCAGAACAACAGAAACACACAATAAACGCATAGACATCCATACCCAGCGTTCGAGCGAGCGAAAACAGTTCATGCCTTAGACCGCGCAGCTGCTGTGATCACTTACTTCATCAAACATACAAAATGCCAGAACATATTTGGGTTAATGCCATTTAAAATTAACTATGAGTTATAACAATGAAATAGTTTTATTATTTACCTTTAGGGCAAATTGCTGAGTTGCGTTTATGACGATGGTGATGGTTGTGCGAAGTCGCCTGTTCTTCGCATTTCTACACAATTACCACTCTAGGAAACGTACGCACTGCGCAACAATTCTAGCGGGTTCGTTAAACCTTTATTTAACTACCTCTCAATCCGTGAGATGTACAGCAGTGTACTGGTCATAAACTGTATTTCACTCGTCTCCGTGTTTGCTTGAAACATTTCTTCCCTCCGGCGTTTAAACAGTTAGCTAGACGCGAATACAAGACTTCATATAAATAAAGTAATGTTGTCCGTGTTCAATTAAGCACCACACCATGAAGACGTGGAGGACTGGAGGTGTACTTCCACGCATTCTTAACCTCGGGACTAGTTGGTGGTGGGTAAAGCGTCCGTTATTGCTGTCTGATTTTAACCAAACATGGAATGTGTCGACATGTTCTGTAAACTCTTCAATACAAAAGGAAAACTGCTGATCCCTAAATTCAAGTACCTTGGGTGGCGAGGGATTTCTGTCCGTTATTGAAACACGACATGCATATAACCACTGATTTCTTCATGAATTGAAATCGCAAGGATTTACACATCACTTACCTCGGAGGGGATGGCAAGTTGTCTGCGGTCCAGGGGTCCTATCCCGGGCAGGTCCATGAGCTCAGGTACATAGCACCAATGATCGGGGACATCAGCCATGAAGAGCTGGTTAAAGGCACAAAATCCACATGGTATGCAAGCAGGCAGGCACACAAGCCACACCAGCAACTTCTGGTAGCGTCCGAATTCTCCAACTTGTGGCAGGAGGTCATCCAAGTCCATGCCATCCTACAGCACGAACAGCGTAACACTACACAACCTGACACTGTCTGCAACTCTGGGCATTTTAATTGGGTTCGACTGAAACCTGGGCACTGTATAAGGGTTCGATTGAAAATTTACACTTAGGCAGGGGTGCAGTGACCTTTCTAACGAAAGATGTAAAGAAAAAACTAAAAACAGAAGGAAATAAACAATGGGGGGGGGGAGTAAAGTGAAATGAATGAAAAAAATTAGAAATATAAACACAGGTAAAAGTTCATGAAGCTATTTATCCAAAGCTAAGGAACAACATGGTCTCCTGCTCCACTTTTGCAGCATTAGCTTGGATATGAAATAAGAATATCATGTGCGAAGTCATTCATAACAACTCTTCCAATCTCGTTATCTGAGTCTAAGTATTTTCCTCGAAGTGGGCAGATTTCTAGACAGTAAAGCGACTGAAAAATGTCCATAGATATATTACATTCAGACTGAAAGCGAAGGAGATCTTGAAAGTACAGCGTCATTGAGACTAGTGTCCTCTAGGAAAGATGTTTGCACAACTGACGGGACAAAATAGATTTATCTGAAGTCACTACATAACGAACTGGGCATTGACCATCATTACGCGCTGCTTCTGTGCTGAGTTCAGACTTAAGGCCAACTGCCATACGTACTGCAGCCGGGAGTCGTTGGAATTTGAGAAGGAAGGCTATGTTTAACACAGCACCACTTCCACTACTGATGTCATTTCGTGTGCTTTCCGGACGGGAACTATGCATCCTCCGCTCCTGTCAACCGCTATAGACAGCTCCGAGAAAAGACGCAAAACAGCTTGAAGATACAGACTGTTGAAAACCTAATTATGAAAATGCTTTTCAGCAGCATTCATGACTTGCATTTTTATTTCAAAAGTTGATGGTTTTTTTAACTGATACCTTAGCGTTCGCTGTTCCACCTTATCATTTCTTTTATTTATAGTGTGTTCTTTTCACAGAATGAATGGAGTGAATGCTCTGGGTCACGCACGTCCAGCCGCCAGTCTGCAGATCATATTTACGAAATCGCTACATGGATTTATATGAAATTTGGTATATTGAAGGTCGACACTAACGTTACTAAGCGAATAATTTTCATTTCGTGCATCCTGCTGTGTTACAATACATACAACTTATTTACTGGGCTATTGTCGACGGACGCGTACGTGAGGTGGAACCAACGACTGATTTGATGTTATTTTTGTTTCGGTTTTTATATAAGACTTTTATTGGTTTTGAATAACCTATATTTTATATTCTTATTATAATTGTCTTAAATGATTTACGACATTGTATCGGACTTTAAGTGCTGCAGTTCAGTGGTGTATGTTTGTTGAAGTGTATTCACCTGAGGATGGCCACTATAGGCCGAAACATGTAGTGAACTGTATCTGGGCGTTGTCCCTGAAGTTCTTTGATTGTTGTATTGTGACGGCCCAATAAATAAGTTGTAAGTTACTAAGCGACTTCAATTTGTGTTCCCATCAGTCCAACAATCCCTCCTATATCCTACTTTTGTAAAGGCGAGTGATAGCTCTGAATTTAGCAATTTCGGGCTACCAAAGCAACGAACTGTCGAGCGTTAACAAGTTGCATTGTCAATTTTACGTATAATATGGCATAAGCGGTAGAGAAGTCTCTTGTTTCAATGTCGTGTATGTTCTGGCGAGTGCTGACAGTATCTAATGTTGATGTATGAAGTATTGTTAGTACTTATAATGGAATGTGATATAGTCTATGAAGATCTGGAAGGTTTATTCACTTTTAAAACATGCAGGTGGATGCCCAAGAGAAAACTCGATAAAATCATGTAGAGATCTGAGCTGAAAACGACAATATACCCCAAGTGGTCTCTCAGCAAAGCGTATGTCCGTAATACGACTGCATGTCTCAACACCTCCACGCGTAGCCTAAGGCATATTTGAGTGAATTCTATCTGTATATGCTTCTTGCTAATTTCAAGCGATAATAGATTGTTTGTGGTGTATGTATATGCCTAATGTCAATAGCCTTTAGTCGCATTAAGAGTAGACACTACTAGGAAACAGAGATATGTTATATTGGATTTGGGGTTCTCACATTGGTAACTATGAAGAGTATTGTCCTGTTGGTTGTATCGCCGTGAAGTTCGTAAAAGTCCGAGGCTCTGATTGCCGCCCGCTTCTCGCTTGGCTTACTCTTAGACCCTGAAGATGGAGATGATATATCCCTCCGAAATTTCGGAATATTTCTGAAGTACTTGGCTTTGTAACCAAAATGTATGTACTCGTCAGGGATAAAAGAGAAATGACTTCAAACCCCAATGAGAATTATAATTACGTACGCCTATATAAAATGAGGTCTACACTTATTTTGTCCTTCAACATTTTCAAGAACTTCTTCAATAATACGATCGACGCGATTTCCTAGGCATACACTTGCTTCGTTAAGGCAATGTGTAGAATCAAATACAGATGTATTCTCTCCTGACATTTCCTTAATTAATGATTCAGCGCCAAAAGTTCTTTTCGACTACCGACGATGTTATAGCACAAATACGCATGAATCGCATCTCCTTCTGAACTTTACCATTTCTTTTAAGTAATTACATTCTAAGTTCTATTTCTTTTAATAAGGAATACATTTCTCTGGAATCAACCTATAACAAAAAGGATTCCTTTAATACTTTCAGTTTACCTTTGATTTCAACGGGCCGTTCTCTAACTAACAATTCCATGGAGCCGAGTCCTTCAGAAGCCAGCAGTCCTCAGCTACTCGACAATTTTCCAACATTTTATGGGATCCGAAATTTCATTACCTACGTAAGATCCATTCTAAAATTATCTTCCCACTTATGTCTAGGTGTTCCTCCTAGTGGCCTCTTTCTTCTGGCTTTCCCACCAAAAACTTGTATGCATTGCTCTTCCCTCAGAAGCGTGCTGCACTGTTCATTTCATCCTCCTTGACTGAATCATTCTAATTATATTTTGCGAAGAGTACAAGTTATGGAAGTCCCCGTCCTCATATTTCATCCCTCTTGGGCCCAAATATTATCCTAAGCATTCTGTTCTCAAACATCCTCAGTCTATGTTCATCCCTTAACGTCCGAGAATAAGTTTCACGCCCATACAAAACTACAGATTTTCATATAAAATATCCATGTTCCTAGGCAACAAGCAAGACAAAAGGTTCTGAACTGAATGATAGCAAGCATTACCCAAATCTGATCTCTATAAGTTCTTCATCAATTAAAATTTTGTATGTTAATGTCATTCCAAAATATTTGAACTTTGCCACATTTCCGAGGTTTTACTAGCTACATTTATATTATGATTTTGCCTTGCATTCTGGTGACCAGACGTCAAGATATACTTATGTGTTTACTCGTTATTAGCGTCAATTAGAGTTTGTGTTTTTCTCTGTGGCATTTAACTTATCTACCACTGGATAACTCACCAAAGTTGTGTCCGAATATATTATGAGTTACAAATGCGCCAACCAGTTGAGGTTTAAAGCATATAACTTGAATGTCAAAGAACGCCATTAGAAACCAACCAATCTGTTATCTCTAACAAATTTACATTATCTGCACAGACTATAAGCTGGTGTGTCTGATTCACTTTAAGTCCTACCTGGTTTTCTTGGACCTTCCTAAGGGCATATAGTTAAGCAAAATTAAAAACGAATCACGATAAAGCATCTCCTTGTTTTAGATCATTCTGAATAGTAAACGTACCAGGCAAATGTTACTTCTAAGAACTTCCACTATAAGTTTCATTTAAACGCGTTTTAATAAGCCTAACTAGTTTCATGGATACCCAAAACTAAATGAAAATAACGTAAAATACTTCTCCTTCCATCCTAACTGAAACATTGGGTTCCTTCCAGTCTGTGGACAGCTGATGTACTGCTCACTGGACTTCCATTTTGTATCAAACGAACGAAAAAAAAAATCAGTAGTTGATTACGTCGAAACAGACACCGTCGATCCCCAATAGTCTCACCTATGTATGAACTTTAACCTTTACTTTACGAAGTCGATAAGAGCAACATGCTCGATGGTCACTATTGTCAATTTTACTGCCCTTCTTGTAAATTAGTACTACAATAGGTTGCTCCTAATGGTGAGGCACTTCTTATTCCACACAGAATTAACGAGTTTATGGATCTGTGAACGTGATGTTTCACCTCCTGCTTCAATCAGTTCTGCCGGAATTTTGCTAATAGCAGGCGGTTTATACCTTTTCAACTCTGAGACAGCAATTTCAGCCTCAAAAGGACTAGGCTTAGCTGCAAGCTTATCTACCTAAGATCATTAACCCTATGTACATTCAATAGCTGGGAGAAGTAATTCTTCCACATATTTCATATCTTCCGGGAATCTATAGGCATATCACCGCTCTCATCCCTCTACCGAGCTAATTCTAGGTTGGTAACTCCTCTATGTTCTTGTTCTTACTGTGCGTGTTACAAGCTCATTTTGTCTTTCGCATATTCCTTCTTTTCACATTGTCCATTTAATTGGTTGTTTCCTTTCATATAATTCTGATCATTCTTCAATACTATTAGACCAAGGGGCTCTCAGTAAGTGAAAACTGAACGTTCTCATTAAATTGGTTCACAGGATAAGTGGGAAGGCGGGGTTGCATATGGCAAAAAAACATACATATAAATAAGGTCTGCAGTCTTTACTTAAATTATTTTTCGGTAAATATTTACATAATTATATGAAAGAACGTCTATGCAATGTGGTCAGAATGGTAACAATGGGGTTTGTACCTATATCAATATCAAGACCAATGACGCGTGAAGAAACACAAAGGGTGGATTTAAAAAGAATTTAATTTCAGTATCATGTAGTATATAAAATGTCTCAAGCTTAATCACATTACAACACGGGACATTGCGCAAGCGAAGAAAAATATACACAACTACAGGCAGTTAATTCTGACAACCGATCAAAGCAGATATTAAAAATGGAACTTACGTTGTTATGAGCCCGAA